AGATAAAGAAACACAGTAGCCTACAGTAATCATCAAAATGCTGAACTATTATTACTATCAGATTAGTATGTTGGGTCATGTATTATCTAGAGTAGCTTGTTAGAGTATATGTATTGTGTATTTTGTGTATTTTTTAACAGCACTTCTGTCAAGTTAGTTGAAATCTGTTCTGTTTGATGTGAAAGTCCATATTTTAATCAATGAACATAATGGGATGGAAGATTTTTTGTTTTTAAGAAGCATTGAGAATAATGAGGTGAAAAACTGCATGCAGTGATTTTTGAGGTTTTTTTTTTTGTAGTATTTTCTTCTTTTTAATACAAACTGCTTTATTCAATTGTTCAGTTATTCTGCTGGAGAGGCTTCCCAGATTGTCACAGAAGTGTTTCATTTTTATATACATAACGTAATATGTATAYATTAAGAAAATACTCAGAATATTTTGTATGGGACTTCACAGTTACTAAAGTAGGATTTAAAAACATTATACTATGCAAATAAAATAATGCTAAAAGTTATTATTTATATAATCTCCTTATTATGTGATAGCTATAATTTTCTAAAATACTAGTATCTCTATAGKGTTCTTTATACATTATAAACTGTTAAAGGAAATCTTTAAGTCAGGCTTTCTGATAGGGGCTATGAAGTATTTTGGGGAAATATGTTTTACTGCATTAATCATTAATCCAAGGTGTCAGATGGAAATTCTATCACCTTGAGGATCACCTAATTTCAGAGAGACTGCATTAACAGAGCTGGAGTATGGTAATCTGTAACACAAACAGCATTTTGCCCTTCTGAAATTTTGGAGATTGGTCTTTAAGCTGCTTCAGCACAATAACTGTGGCATGAGACTGGAGAGCCAGTTTGACACTTGCTTGTTCTGGCAAAGCTTAATTTTATGTTTCTATAAAACTGAACAAATGACTGCTACTAATGTTTTGCTCATCAGCTAGTAAGTGGAGGCCATTTAAGGCAGAAACGTAAGGTTTAGCTCCAGCTGCTGTTTCTAATGTTGCAGAAAGCTTTTGCTACAGTTCATTAAACTCAACTTCAGGCACGCACAAAACTGCCAGCTGATTATTTTTTTTTCTTTCCTCTTTTGAGTGAAACCTTGTGGCACCAGTTTGCACTTACCAAATGGAGTTGCAAAATCCTGCATTTTTGGGGAGGGATGGACAATAGTGACAAGAGACTTAAAATAGCAGCTAAAATTGTGTTGATAAATATTTTTTTCCAGTTTTTCAGATTAACCTAGAAGTCATGCAGGAGATTTTTAGTCTTCTTATTCCCCTTGAAAAGAGATGAAGTTAGGTATGAGTTAATACATTTGTTGTTGAGTTATATATTCATGAGTTATTTTCTCACTGAGATTCTTGAGTGGAAATACTTGTTCCTCCCTCTAGTCTTGGATATGGGAGATGACATTCTTGAGAAGAGCAACCATTTCCTAGGCATTTCCTATGGTCTGCTATAGGCAGCCATGTGTTTGACTCCCTAGTTGCTGCAAAGTCATTGCTTAGGTACCTGACACTTATTGCACTTTGCAGCAGAGCTTTGGTGCCATAACTCAGAGCAACTTACTTATCCCCTTAAATGCAGAGGCTCTCAGCTTCCCATCCAGAACCCAGCAATGGGCCAARAGCAGTTCAATATGTTACAGTCACACACTTTTTAGGGGGGTTTGTCATCTTTTAGAAATGCTGGAGACAACAGTTCTGGAATAGCATGACACTGTGCACTATTGAGAACAGAAATATGGGAGGTCGGTCCAGCAAAAAATCTAAGTGACCAGGTCAGTGTTAAAGTATTGGTAAAAGGATGATATGGAAAACTCAAAAGTAAAAGTAAAAAGTAAAATGTACTTTTCCATAAAACAGAAAGTACACTATGAAATATCAACTCTGCCTAAAGAATTATGTCTACTATGCTGGTTAAAAACAAAGTATTCACAAAGCTCTTTCTTTTTGTGTAATATCAACACCCTGTTTTTAAGTTGTTACAGGTATAGCTTATAGAACCAAGGAACAGATAGTATATCTGGTATAGTAATGAAAGAACAGATCAGCCATGTGTGTTTAGGGTAATAGGCAGGAATAAGAAATGCAAATACACCTCTTGTTGCCATGGAACTCTCTTGGAGACACAAGTTTTGGTTGACCTCTTTGGTGAATCTCTTAAGGACTTTGAAAAGACATAGCCTTTCTAAGCTAGCCCATCAAGCTCTCCACACAGAATTATTAAAAGAATAGTAGATACTGAGTATCTGAAGTTGTGTTAATGCTTGTTTATTAACATAACASAGTCAGGTTTCCAAAGAGAGAGTTCTTCATTCTGCTAAAATTGTACACATGGAAGAGACAGCCCTTACTTTGAATTTACAAATTAACACAAATAAAGTATAATAASGGAACAGAAAAGTTTAAAGCAACAGCCACAGCATGATGTGATTGACTCTGAAGTATTTATATGTAGCTGTCTTCAAGGTTTCCACATACATATCCTCACTTTTGGTTCAATGAGSTGAGGGAACAAAGGATTTTCAGTCTCTAAATGGCATTTTAGGTATGCATGTTTTTCCATTTGACAGCAAGACTTGAAATAACTGTAAGTTGTCACTTTTAACTATTGTTGTCTAAACATACTTAGGAGTGAGTGGCCACATCAAAACAGAATTAAGGCTATGACAGCAATCAGTGCAAATCAGAAAATTTCCAGCTGAGGATGAAATCTGCCATCTGCTCCAAGTACCCAGACGCAATGGGGGTACAGAAAGTTGTTAAGAGCATCAGTTATAGGGTATGAAATCAAGATGCAATATGGTACGTGTCACCCTTACTTTGTTTTTCTGTCACGGACTTGGTATTCTTCCTGTGAGTTCAGGCAGGGGAAATTAGTTTGGGCGAAGTTTTCAGGACTTCCTTGGAGCTCTCTGAGACAGAGCTTTAAACATTACCTGCCCATACTGGAGAGCCAACAAATGGTGAATATGCATTCCCAGAACAGTTAACTAAATTCTGGTCATGGATTCAAAATATATTTCTGTTTACATATTTGCATCTCAAGGAACAATGCTGGTAAGAATTCATAGGGGAGGCTGAGCCACAGTTTGATCTGTACAGGGAAGCATTTCATTTTTAGTTGTTATTAAGAGAAGGCAAAATTTACTTTTTTTTTTCCCCCCCTTTATCCAAACTTCACTTCTATGCTCTTAGATGATGATTGCAATCATTAGTTTGTCAAAAATTGACTTTGTCTTCATGGCTCAGGTGATTCATTTAAAACCTGTGAGATTACATCGATTTTGCAAAGCGCCTATTCTAATAGAATGATTAATATTTATTACTGAGATGAGCACTCTGTGAAATGACTGCTAGACAGAAACTATTCCCCACTTCTCAGCAAATGGCAAGACAGTTGTAGGCTTGAGGAAGCAGCACGTGGAAGAGGCTACGTGCTGACAGCCTGGCTCCACACTGGAATCCCAGCAAACATCCTCCAAGATCAAGAAAGGGTAAGAACTTGCCACCCAGTCTTTGACATCAGTTCCAAGCAGTGCTGCGCTAGTGAATCTGACAGTCACTGATGCTCAGAACAGAAGACACATCAAGGGATTGCCTTGAGTGTCTTCAGTTGTAAATGTAAGAGCATTTGTGGCCAAACCTTTGCTCTTACTTTCCAAAGTAAATGGAATGTCTAGAGGGGCAGTAGTGYATACTGTGTCATAAATATGCTCATTTGTTGGATGAAAAGTTATCTGAATGGGTAATTTTGGCTAGCCACAAGATTTTTGTGATAGGTCATTTCAAGCAGTTAACAACAAGAAACTGAATGAATCATTGCTAGCCCCTATTTTCTTTGTGAAGAATATGAATTATCTGCCCCCAAGCAAACTCAAGACTAGTCAAATGCAGCAACATGACACATGTCTGACTTCAAAAGACAACTGGGTCAGAAAGCAGGGATGAGATAAACACAGGCTTTTGGAAGCTGTAAATAATTGCCACAAGGACCAGAATATTTTAACTAGCAACCTCACATCCATCCAGTGGTTCACTTGCATCTCAACACATTACGAAGAAAGCATTTTACTGAATTGTTAGCTCAGAGGACAATGCCAGCCTATCTATAAACACTTGACCTAAAAATGGCAATTAAGAGAGAATCTGTATTGCAATTTATTTACTGAATTATTTATACATTGGATAAATATTCACTGTAAACTTTTATGCCAAACAGGACTATAGGAATGTTGCTTTGACAGTTGCCAATACACATTTTTCCAAGAGAACTACTGATTTTTCAAAAGGGTAAGCTTGCTGATATCCTTTGCAAAAAGAGAATATYTAAAAGGTGGTCACAATCTAGGGACCTGAGCTCTGTTATTTTAACTAGAGTATTATTCTACATCAGTTAAAAAGGGAGACATGAAATGATTTTGTGTTTATATTTATTGTCAGCAATACATCAGTTATGTAAAAATAACCCATATGAAAATGTAACACTTGTTACATTTTCACGTCATCTGTATTAACTGAATAAAGCTTAGTGACAATATACACAAATTTGCAGTAGTTGTACGTAAACATTTTGTGCTTTAAAAAAAAAGAAATATACATAATTTAAAAAATAAAAATGCATTACACAATTTACAAATTAATGTTAACAACAACAACAACAAAAAAAAAAAAAAAAAGGTAAACATTCCTCAGCAGCTGCCTCCTTGTTCTACAAAATAAATATTCAAGTAAATTAAGTTAGGCAAAATAAACTCTTAACTTTGGGCAAGCACAATTTACATAAAGGTAAAAAGACAGATTTCCATTTCACTCAGGGTATATTTTACAGTGATTTATACACAGAATTTTTAAATTGGTCTCTTCAGATTGTACTATTGGAAAACGGACTTTACATTTTGGCAGGAGGAAGGGAGTTTCAAAATTGGTGCTTTATACTAAATATAAACAAGCTTGTGTAGGAGCACCGAAGCCTTGAAAAGGAGTTGCTCCAGGACTCAAAGCAGACACAGTCATCTAGAAACTACAGATTTAAAAAGGAAATTACAAACCACCACATCAAGAGGAAAATGCCTACTTTGCTATTTTCTGCATGATTTATTTGATCACTGGAAACGTTACTTTCACAAACTAACAATCTACAGTAGTGGCTGCTTTAGGCACTGGATTTGAAGAAGCACTCTGATTTTTAAAGCAAATACTTTTCATTCTATACTGATACTTACCCTAGTCATTATTACTTTTTCAATGCTAAAAGGCTTAATCACCTTTGTAACTTTTAGGTTTACATACTACATCAGCCCTCCTTATAGCCTAATAATCTTTTCTTGATAAAGACAGAAGCCATTTTGGCTTCAAATTTCTGTGCACTTTGCATTTAAAAAATGCACTCTAGATGTTAGATGCAGCATGTGTATGACGTGGATGTCCACGATTCACTGACCAGCTATAAAAAGTAATACATAATGAAATACTTGCATGGGTTGCAAAGGCCAAACATTCTTAAACTTTTATCTCTTTCTTCATTTGTCATTTTCACACAGTAATATAAAGGAGATGGTATACCTTAATAACCCTCAAGTTATTAAATTCTGACATTTAGGGCATAAAATCTTCAAGGCAAGTACCAGACATGAGTGTCCAAGACCTGCCAGTATAATAAATAGTGATGATTTCTTACCTGTTCCCTCAACTGATATTGGTCCAACACTATTGGACAACCCAAAACCAGTCTTTTCAAAGTACAGAAACCATGATTTCCATGTGATATAAATTGTTTTTAAAAACTTTAAGCTTTAAAAATAAGTTTAAAAACTTTTTTTTTTTGTATGTTTGATTAAACAGGAATCAACTAGGTTTTTTGTTGTTTCCTACCCAAGACCTCTGAAGGTTTGTTTTTAACTCCATCTCTTTTCAGAGTGATACCAGACTGAAGCCCCCAGTGTTGCAGGACAGGCCCACGGGCACTTCACTAGCTGTTACACAATCAAGGTATCAAGTGAGAAATTTAACCTGTACAAAAGCTTGTTACTATTTTTTCCTTTGCTTATCGTTCCCATTCAGGTAAATACCCCTGCAGTGGAAAGAAGACCATTTTCTTTATGCTGTAACACCAAACTGGTTTTATAATTTAGCTAGATTAAATTAGGACCATACTCTCTCTTAATATTGGGCAAAATGCACATTGATTCTAAGAATTATTTTACAAGGAATCAGGTTAGGTATTTTTAAGGACTTTTGTAACTTACTTATGTTAGAGAGAGCCTTGTAATGACAAGTGGATTTCATTGGATTACAGTGGATTTCATTGATTACAGTGGATTTCACTGATTACACTGATCATCATGGGTCAAAGTTTGCAAAAGCTGCAGTTTTCTTTAATGTGCAAAAAACTGATGCTTCTTGGGCAAATATTGTGATGAAATAGGCAGAAGTGATTTAGGTTATAAAAAAGACCTGAGAGCCTAATACTGAACTTCACATAACAATTATTTGAGAGGTTGCCTGGTCAAGTTTTGTAACTCTATTGCTTCGYAGTGGCACAGTCATTGTATGTAGAAGCCATTTTGTGAGAAAAACTCTTCTCAGGCCATGAATCTCATCCGTAATAGGCTTGTAGATACAACAAGCCTGTCTGCTTCCTTGGGGAAGCATAACAGCAATGGGCCATAAGCACGGGAGAGGTTAACAGTGAGTTTCTGTAACACTGAGTTTTTTTGTTTTGTTTTGTTTTGCTTTTCAAGTGGGGACTATTAAAATGGCAGAAGTTTTATTCTTTACTTGCCAGTACACTCAAGAGTTGAGCAGAACAGTTACAAGTAGAGTCTCCCCAATTATCTTAATTAGTAAAGACAAAATGGTTCTGGGTTTTACACTGTCAGCAACAGTGAAAATGCTTTTACTAGTGAAATAAAAATAGCAAAAAGCTTTTCTTTCAGCTGAACAATCAGAATACCTTCTCAGATAAATATATCACTCAAGATTAGAGGGCAACCATTTTTTTCTTTTTTTTTTTTAACAAAGTTAACAAATATAAAAAATCTAGTCATAAACAGCCTTCAAAGTACAATTAGAAACCAGCAGGACAATCTATATTTGTATAGGTAGACGGGGCAAGAAACTAGACACTTGTATTACTGCCATGATAGAGACTACGAACGGCCGCGGTGATGTGAAGCTGTGAGTGAGTTCACGTCATTAGTCGATCCCATCCAAGCGCAGTCCAAACTGAACTCTACTCTCTTCAGGATTTAAGACCTGTCTCCTTGACACTCCTTGCACAAGATACATTGTCATCCTTTCTGAGCAGAGGCAGGTTTTCTATGGCAATACTAGTTAAGTGCATATCATGCTGCACTAATATAGTGCAAAAATTTGCCTTACATATAGCAAAAAAAGATGCAGGCAACAGTTTGAGTTAGAGAAAGTAGAAACGTATTGTAACATTTACAATGGGTATTATTTTTCCAGACAGGAACCTCTAGAAAATACTGAATCTGAGAATGCCTCCCTTCTCAATGTATAACTGAGGCATTTATACCTTGGAGTGACAACAGGACAGAATTTTCCAAGTGAGTCATTGCCCTCTGAAAAGCAGGTTAACATGAGTTATCAATTGCCAAACTGTTGAACTTGTTCAGTGGGTTAACCTCAGTTACAAGTTAGTATTTTTCTAAGCACTAAATGCTCTTTAACATGTATAGAATCTGACAGAGTAATACACACGGTTCAACTGAGTATATATATTAGGCTTGAATATAAAGAGTCATAGACAGCTTGGTACAAACTCTTCATGCTCTTCTGGTTATACTTGGTTAATGTTGCAGGGGCTTTCAAATCTATGGCAACTATAGCATCCTGGAGACAGAAGTGGTGCTTATAGTTTTGTAAGATTGAGGAAAGACCACAAATATCTCCAAATGCAGGGTCTATTAAAGTGATTCTGCCAGAATTCTCAGTGTCGATGGTCTAAAGTAAAGCAATAATACCTTGAATATCCATAGGCATTATGAAATCCATCCTTCTTTATCTATGGTGCAGTTCCAAAAAGAAAAAAAAAAAGTCTAAACACTTAATCCACTCCATGGCAAATCCCTGTGGCTTTGAATACCTTCTGATTTCGATCCAATAATTTAGATTCCATTTTTCATCGTGAGAATTTATATTTTACATATCTGCATCTCCATCATAGGCCAAGGTTAATGGTTTCAGTCGGTTGTTCTGTCTTCTCTGGGGCTTCTTTGGCTTTTTGCTGAAACAATAAGATATTTTGTAAATAGAACAATAGACTAATAGCATAAAAGGTACRTATTTCATTCTTAAAAAAACCCTACTATTTAAACTAATAGTTGATTGGGTTCAAGCTATGAGCCTAAATACTTTGATCTGTAATTCTCTCTTTGACAACTGAAAGCAACACCAATTCAAGCTCAACTCCTAAGAAACAGGCTGTTATGGTACTGATCTGACTTGATGAAATCCTTGGCAGGAGATGGCTAATCCTGCTAGATCACTCATTGCAGAAAAAAAAAAACAAAAAAGAACAATAACAAACACAAGCAAAAAAAGCAGAACCTCCAGTGGAATGTGGTATATCGAAATGACTAAGAGTTAATTTTTTTATTTATGTAATTTAGGTTTTAATGTCTCTTGACAAGTCACGGGTCTCCCTATGAACATTTCATCTTGGGTAGTATCTTTTCCATTAGTCTGTCTCATTCTACTTGCCAAAAAGACTAAGGTTAATTTTAGGCAGTGTAATCAAATAAATTGAAACCAGTTTTTGAATGACTCTAGTTCAGCAGTATTTCCAATCCATTTCACACATTTTGCACTTTTGGCACTCAGTTTGCACTTTTTTTTTAACTTTAGACAGAATATATACTCTTTAGTAGTGCTTGTCTCCTTTTAGTGTATAATATCAATATTTCTTTAAATCAGGCCTATGCATTCTCACCCTTCCTCAAAGAAGACAAAAAAACCTCTTTGCCACAGATGCTTATACTGCTTATAATGCAGTATAGCCTGATCATTAAGGATCCTTGTTCAGGATAGGTAGGATCTGACCAGTCATTTGGATCAAAAATTCCAAATTGGATCCAAAAAACTTGAGTAAGAATATCATGAAAATTGCTGTGCTCTTGCAAAAATATTATTGCTTTCTAATGCAAGGTGATTTTCAACAAAACAACATTTCATGTATGAAAAACATGAGAAAGCTTCGAGCCTTTTATTCTTTGGGTACCTCTGTACCCCTTCCCATAACAAATCCAACTTGCCTTGCCACTAAATTTCTCTCTTTCCCTTCCTCTCCATATGGTGATGCAGCTGCAATGAAATTAGCATGGGATGCAGTCATTAACCGACATAGATTGAGCAAAAATAATCCATACACTAAGAKAGACCATATTTGTAAGAAGCTTTCAGCCACTATGCCAGGCTTTGGCAACAGGATGTGGAAATTTGAACACTGCAGATCATAGAAGAGCTGCCTGCAGTTTCTAGTGCTGCGTATGTAAATGGTTGCATTACTGTCTAGGTGTGACTGCTCATTTGTAAATAATTAAAGAACTCACCAGGCTAGATAGATCATAGAAACAATAAAGATGAGTAAAACAAATGCACCAGCAGCTACACCATAAACCCAGGTCTTCAGCCTCCCATCTAAAAGGAATGAATGTTAGTCAGTAGTGCTTGAGTTAGTCTGGTTGAATTATTAGTTCTAAAATAGTATAGAAATACTTCTAAGATCCCAAATAAATATCTTCACCGACAGAGTAGATACTACTAAAGAAGTGCAGTAACTTCYGCTTTGCACACTCTCCAGGCTTCCTGAGGAGCCCTGCCAAGAAAGAAGCTGCTCTCCCTTGGGTTTTATTTTCTCTGCACGTGTGTCTGGCTCTCTAGCCAAAGTCCCAATAATCCCAAGGGAGCAGAGAGGCAGCAAGACAGCAACGCTGCTCCCCACAAAATGCAGCCAGCGTTTCGGTTTCAGCTCTGACACATCAACCTGCCTATTCATCTCATGTTTGTTGCAATTTTTTTTTGTTTTTAGATAACTATTATATTTTTCATTTTTCCTGTTTTGTTTTTTCCTCTTCTTTTTTTTTTTTTTTTTTTTTGGCACAGGGTCTCTCTGGTCTGAGGTATATATTCCACTCTTCTATTTGCCTTGATTCTAGATGCATTCTCTAATTCCAGGAAAATTGAGGGAAGAGCTGATGTGACTTTTTTTTTGGTTGCGAACCTCTAAATAAGCATTTCATAACCTGAGACCAATGCATGTTATTTAACTCATGCTCTTTTTATTTGACTTATTTGAATATTTCTAAATTGATAATTGAAAATATTCTTTTTCAACAGATTAGCTAGACATTTAACACTTCATTGTCAATGAAAAACTAATGAAAAAAATACTTCATCTAAAAAGGACAAAGCTGCTACTTAATGAAGTCATTTCCTAGTTTCTTACAGTATCATATGTTATTTTCAATCTCATGCCAGGCAAACAGCTAAATTTTTGCACTTCGATGCTTGTTGCTTCGCACTAGCTCTGTAGAAACAAGGAGGTACAATGCAGCTGATGCTTCTGTAACGTGATAATAAAGCAAATTAGTTGGGCTGATTTTGTTCATATTCACCATGAATATGGTGAATTCTCTAGCATGGCACAGTAAAGATCAGGCTTTCTGTTCTCCAACAAGTCTTGCAGTCACATGGACAACCTGGCCAATTAATATAAAATTATTTTAGCTTCCTTACATCAACTCACCTAATGAAACAAAACTCCTAGCACTGAAACAACAGATCCATTTAAAGATGGATAGAAGCAGCTGATTTGACCTGACATTACAAATATCTGAATGAGGGCAATTCAGACTTCATTACCGCTAACCAGGTTATTTTCTTTCCTCTTTGACTTATTTACACAGGGAAAAGTTATGTTTTTTGTTTGTCTGTGTTTTGTTTTGTTTTCTTCTCTTTTCTTATTTGTTTGCTTCTCTCCTTGGAAAAAGGTCTGGCATTACTTTGTGTCTGGATCTTTTTTATGTGAAAGTASGGAACTATGTTAACACATACCAGTCATCTTCAGGCACCTAACTGACATACTCCAAATACCCTCTGCCTAACTCAGTTTTCTAAATATACAAGGAAATAAACCTTTCAAATGCAGCTTTCTGGGTATTACTTTAGACATTTGGAGGGCATCTGGTTTAAGTATCTTCCTTTCCAAAACTGTAGTATTATTTAAGGTAGTGAAATAATGATTGTAAACCTGGATTTAGAATCTCTAAGGAATGGAATAACCATAGTAGGGTAAGGAAGAATTTTTCCAATGGCTACCCAATCCTGGAATGGAAATCATTAGTCTTTAATCTCATGTCTTACCTATAAGTCTTACCACTCCTGCACAAAAATGCTTGCTCAGCTCTACAGGACATGGTCAGTCAGCCCAAGYGAGTAACTCAGAGCATGCCTATACTGAATATCATGATTATATTTAGCTCCTGTCTAAGCTGAATTAATTTAAATATGGGTATGGCAGAAGAGCATTAGGGTGTCTACATCAACTGTTTCCTTGTAATTTGTATCATGCGTGCAAATTTTAAGCATCCCTCACACATTTCAATGCTACCKTTTTACTCTTTTGAGTGTATTATTGGTTGAGATAGCATAATCTAGTGCCCTGGCTTGCACCTTTGCAGTCAACTCCCTTCCGCGGTTACAAGTCAAACAGCTTCTGTGAATTTTAACAAATATCAGTGAATAAAAGGAAATCTTCTGTAATACAAGATTTCATTAAATATACTGATGGAGTAGGAGAGAAGGGTAGGTGTTTACTTATGCCTCTTCCTTTGTTTTAATSAGGGCAGATGTCTGTCTTCTTAAGTGAACAGTTAAGGATTTTGCTTTTCTTCCTTGGCATTAAAAAAAAAAAAAAAGTGAATGGCAGCCCCTGCAGCAATACTTAGCACTAAGAAGCGCTCATTGTATGACTTCACCTGGCCCAAAAGGCTGCAGAAACCAGGTCCTTCCTCGTCCTGACTGGTTACTGGAAGGCTGAGTGGGGTTCACAGCTCGACTGGTTTTCACATCTCCCTTTTTGTCCTCCATGGTGGGGATCACCACCACTGGGATGAGCGTGCACTGGTYGAGTGTGCCATTGGAGGACATGACTTCCGTGTATCCATCTTCGCAACTGCACGTCCTAGTCTGTAGGGAACAAGTGTTTGACACTGTGTAGCAGAAAAGCAGTTTTCCATGAGCTATGAATGATAAAATGAATGACTAGAAGAGAAGACTCTCTTTGTGAGTGCTAGCCTGGAGACTACAGCTCTTCGTATATTTTTATGAAGTATCTTACTGAATCAACACTGATGATTCAAAATTTCATGGAAAGGCAGAAAAGGGTTTGAGGTTGATTTTAACAACTAGTACAATTCTGAGGAATAGTTCTGTGGGAGATGTGTGGGAGGAATGCCTGGGGGTGTTTTCTGCTCCAGCACAGTAGCACATACCTCGCTACAGTAAGCGTGGGCTTGACTGCACGGTGGGTTACATGACCTGTCAGCATCTGGTTGGCTCATCACTAAACAGCCCCCTGTAGGACAGAAAATTATATTTTGACATGGTAATATTGATTTCATTACTTACTATAGTATGTCACAGGTTACTATTTTATTGCTGTTATGAACTTAAGAGAGCTACTTTTATTCCAAGGTAAGTGGAAAGGGGTCTCAGGTATTTTCTCATAGGTAGAGTAAGCATACTGTATGTATATTTAGGTGTAATTTAGTGAACTAGTATTTGGCAAGTAAACCTCTTGTTTTTCTGCTTTTTTTCTTCTGTGATTTGCTCAAGAAATAGCTTAAATATTTGGTAGTGCTTGAGAGAACAGATTTTTATTTTATAGGACCCTCCTTGTGACTCATGTTAAAGCTGCGGCTACAAAGGAAAGGGGATTTTTGTCCTAGATTTTTGTTTGCTAAACTGAAGACACACTAATCATTCAGTTCATGAACTGGTGCTTGTTTTCTGCTACACTTTTTGCTGCATTTTTATTCATTTTTGACCATTTTTTTCCTCCTATAAAGCTACACTTCATGCTAGTATACAGAAGGTTTTCTAGAAGGAAAGGAAGCTCTCCCAGTAAAACACATGCTGAATGCTGTTATACTAGAACAGTCACTCTCAGTCCTCTTCTTTTTTTTTTTTTTTTTTTTTTTTCATACAGTTCTTGTTCTCATTCCTACAGCTTTATGTACAATGCAGAGTTATTGTTATGGACCAATGCACACAATCAGGCTTTCACTATAATTTCAGCCAGAATACTAAATAAATTTAGAATCACTGTGAAGGTGCCTGGATTTCCTTCTTACAGAAGAGAAATATGCATCGCCTAGTCTCAATGTATACTGCTATAGGCCAGCTCATCTTGCATCTGTCAGATTAATTGAATTCTTATGCTGATGTGATATGATGATGAAATCCCGATAGGTGGCATTGGTCACAACCGTAGCAGATGCAGTTAGATGTAGTTATTTCAGCTATTATGCTAAACAAAAGTGTTAACAGGATGGCTGATGAAGAACAAAGAAAACCCTGTTGGTTGCCGTAAGTTTTCCCCACCCCCACAAAATAAAATTGTACATCCTGGCATACAAATCACATGCCTGTGAGCATCTATGTAATAAAATATCAGTCATCCAGAGAGCTGCAGAAGGAAAGAGCTGCTTCATCGCCCATGGGAAACAACACCTTCAAGCAAAAAACAACTATTCAGCACAATGATATTATGCAAAAGATTTTTTTTTTTTTAAATTAAAGGCTTTAAAATACAACAGCACTTGTAATAAAACCTTGATCATGTCTTAATAAAAATATATTACTTCCCAGCTGCCAGGCCTGCAGTATTAAGGAAGCAAAGAAATATGATAATATGGTTTGATTTTAGGTCAAAATATGTAAGTCAGTCCATCATGTGCTTGTATCTATTCACTATGAACTCTTAAATATTGACTTTTATAAGCAAAACTTTCAAAACACCTCAACACTGAGCTTGCAATCTGGTTCACTGCACTTCATGCAGAGAAGTTTCAACAAAATTAGATTGAAGTGCTTTGTTTGAAAACAATCAAGAGAATGGAAAAAAAAAGTAATTTCACATTGGATGGAGTCTGGCACTTTTATTTTCTGGAGTTTTCCCTCTCATTTATAATTCAATGCAGAAAAATATTTAAGTTCTCAAATCATCTATTTAYAAATTAGTAACGACTTACACTTTTTGTGATAAAAGCATTTATTTAAAGGAATAAGTCCTCAAAGTAAGTAATTTACCATTCTCTTCTCAGTTTTGGTTTGTTACTATCTTGCTTTCTGATAGCTTGTTTCCTATTTTGCAATGACTGATCAATACTAATACAAAGGACAATGCATCAGATATTTCTCTGATATTCCAAATACACTATATCTGCTGCTTTTCCTTATTTAAATTGGACAGTTTCTACTAGTCTGATTTGATATTTCTTTGGTAACTATGCATAGTTTTGTTGTCCAATGTTTCATTTACCTCTGTGTTTTATAAAGGCTAGATTATCATTTATATTAAATCAATTTGGAAAAAAAAACAAATCTTGAAGTCAGAAAATAATTATGGGGCTTTAAAACATCTAAAATAATGGAACTTATTATATCAGAGAAGGAATTCTACATATCCAGGTAGATATATAGAACCATATCACGAAAAATCTGTCAGCAACACAAAGTTACGCAATTCTCTTCCCTGGAATTTTTTCAAGTGGCTGTATTCAGTGATATCACAATAATTATTCTTTTTTAATATATGACTGTGACTTATGAATAAATTTTACTTTTTAACATCTTATTATTTTGAAGGCCTACACCTCTRCTGTATTATTAATATAATTATGTATAATRTATATGATGTATAATGYATTATTAATATAATATAATATGTTAATACAATGTATTATTCTCAGTGAGGGTTCTTATTTATATTTTTACTTACTACACAATCATTTTAGTTAGGCAGAAGACAATCAAAGTGCCTAGACACTCCCTGTTGCATTCCATATGAAGATGATAGATTTTAACATTTTTTACAGTACAAAGTGACACTTACTTACAAAACAGACTTTGCCTGACAGACATTATTTTAAAAAAAATCTTGTAAAAATAATACTATCTCACTAGACAGTAGTTTTTTTAGTAGTCTCAATATACAGTAGTGCTGAATTCAGACATTAAAAAGTACCATACAAGTAGTCCATGAATTAGAGTCCCATTTCTGCCACTGACCAGTGACTGTATTGAGGAAGCTGCACTAAAATTAATTACGTCCAAAAACTGAAAACCTTGGACCACTCAGGTATTTTGGTATAGGTTTATCTCATTGATTTAAATGAAGCCATCTATAGTAATATGTTTGTTAAAATATGATATTTTATACTTTCTCTGATATCATATGCGTGATATTATCAGCCATGACATCTCTGGCTCTGTGAAGGCAGTGAAAAATACACAGAAAAAAACCACAAACACTTGAATAAATAAAATGGTCTTGTTWTTGTAGGGCTTGAAATCTGAAATCTTAAATCCTGAAGTGCATAGATGACTACAGAAAAATACAAAATGCACAACATTGCAAGTCTGATATAGAATATAATATTTTCTGTTTACTGTAGCATTACAGAATTCTACCTAATTCTGAAAAACCTTTGTTTAGTACGCAATAACATGATAATAAATGACAACTCCACATTAAATTAACATTATGAGAAGTGTTCCTGATGTCCATGTAAGGTTTTTGCATCTTTCCATTTGTTGGAARAAAAGATGTTTTCCATTTGTTTTGTAAGTTTCTGTGTGTATATAAAAAAAGTAGTTAAGTACCTGTGACATTTAAGCCATCTGACCTTTGGCACCACACCTTTCGAGAAGACCCCTTCCATGCGCTAGCCATCCACTTGTACTCGTAACACTGGCCGTCTGGAGAGAAACATTGATTTGGTGACAAGATGTTAGGCTTCAGCTATCAGCTGCACCCCCTGGTAGTAGCAATAATTCTAGTTAAGAAAAGGGAACCGTTGTTTAAGGCCAAACGGGCTGTGTCCTTCACCCAGCAGCTGAAGAAGGTGGACTGCACACATGAAGGCCCTGCAAGGTCTCCTGTGCTTTCTGGCCAAACAGAATAGATTATATATCTCCCAGACACTAATTATCTTGTTCTGAACACACTGCATATGGGGTAAGCCCAGGGCAGATAACAGGAAAAAACAGATGTTTCCAACAGCCTTTTAATGGCCATGGCCCATCTGCTTTGCAAGAGTCAATCAGGAGTTAGGTTTCTTCAGTCACTGATCGAGCRTATAATGAACCGGTCTGGTGATCCCAGCACTTGACCTCAATACACAGCTCTGTTATGCTGTGTGCCACTCACCCTCTGGGATAAATCACGCAATCTATCTGACCCTTCCCTCATTTGTAAATATAATTTTTTTTTCACATTTGTGTAGCACAATTGGAATAGACAAAAAATGTGTGGACCAGGAATGTCTTTTCCATTTGACGCTCTGTTCACTAGTAAGTATGACTGAGACTTTTCAATGCTGCTGTCATGTGATTAATAGCAGTTCAAAGGGAAGAAGAAATTCAAGTGTGGAAGAGGGAAATTCAAATGTGGTTATACATTCCGATTTGAAAGATTTTTTTTTTAAGTAGAGTTATAGAGAGGTAAGACAAATACTGTTTCCCCAAATTCTAAAATGGAATTTCATCATTAAAGATAACAATTCCCTAAGAATTGCAACTAAAACCCTAAAATACAAAGGTTAATATTTTATAATATTTTCAAAATTCTTGTGTTTCAAAAAAAAATCTGTTTCGAAAAAGAAAGGGTATTCCTATGTCTATCAAATGCTTTTCTCTCCAATTTTGATATTCTAAACAGGAAAGAAACCATACTTCTGTTGTTCTGTATTTTATTACATCACTCTTACATGATRTGCTCTTTGGTGCTTACCATCACATGGTCGTGTTTCCAAAGCCTGTTCCGGACAGAGGTGTTGATTCTCTAAATCTTGAATGATGACTGCCCGAGATCGGACTTGTATCCCTCCAAAGCCAAGGTCCTCACCATTAACACACGTTAACTGGCAWAGGCTCCATTCCGACCACTCCCTCAAGTAACAGTCCCCTGTCAAGTAATAATTTTATAATAAAATAACAGATCACCAAATATGGTGTGTTTCCAGAATGACAGTATCTTACAAAAGTATGGTTCAAATCCTGTTTATTAWTTTTTATTCTTTAGTTCCTTTCACTTCTCTTTTTAAACTTCATTTATTCTTRACAGAAGACAACATTTTCTATAACTATCTATATATGCAGAATACATGCAGAGCAGAAAATACTTTAAATGATGTCCTAAAAGCCTGTTTATTCTAAAGCCATGTAGCATTCCCTTGTAAATACTCTCATTTTGAACTTCTGAGCCACACTGCACTTTACATTTTTCTTCTGTAAATTATATGACTTAGTTTATGTCTGATCTTGATGATTCTCGTTTGCTCTAAGGAAAATCAAAAAAAAAACCACCTTAAAAAAAAAAAAAAAAGAATTGTTGCTTTTCCTGACAAAGATGTCATGAAATAGAATATTTTTAAATCTACTGAAAGTTTATTTTGAAAGGAAGCTGCTGTCATAACATGAAAAGGAAAGGGAAATGGAAAGGCATTTAAATTGCCTGCTCTGGTTACTGTGCTAGGAATCTGTAGAATATTATAGTGTAAAACTGAAAAACAAAAATTATACTAATGACATTAATTAGCATGATTGGCTAAAGAACATTTAAAGATTTGAAGCACAACATAAAGAGACCRTTTTGTTAAAATGGCTGTATAAAATGGTACTAGACTGTACATTGACTCATAAATAAACCTCTTAGTTCTCATTATTTCAGTGAAAGAACTATTAAAAATTCATGCTACCTTGCATTATACTGATGACAGATATAATCAGTGCTGTGTTGACCAGATGTCTGATTAATGAAGGAATTCTATTTGCCAACATTAGGAAAGCATGTGAAGAAATGAATAATTGAAGAACTGATGTATACATAATGGGAAAGCAAGTAGTGATTTTGGGAAACATTAGCTGGAGTGTATCATTAGCACATCCCCACAGGGCAGTTATCCTTACTGGCCAAATGTGAGATTGTTCAAGTGCAGGTTGCTGCTCAGCAAAATGGTAAAATCAAGCCATAAGAAGGTATATTTTTAAAATCTGACTTAAAGAAAACATAATTATGAGCTTTTTTAGTTTTCTAACTTTCATTTAATAAGTAAAAATATGTCATGAGTATGCAATGGAAGTACTGAAGGGCCACACCTGTATGTAATCTAAATTAAAGTTTCCATGACATTTCTAAATAAAAAAAGTGATAAAAGCATCTCTGTTTTCAGTTATTTTCTATCTGTTGAGGCACTGTTACCTTCAATCCAATTTGAAATGAATTGGAAAAAAAGATTCTGAGAAGGACAACAGTTCCAAAAGAATAAAACACAATGTTGCTATAGGATGACAGCTGCATTATTTAAGAAGTAAAGGAGTAAATCATTACTTCTGAAAATATATTGGCAATGACTCTGCTGAACAGCACTAATAGAGAACAAATTCTACAAAGGAATGTTTAAAATGAACAGCAGGGGGTTACTGAAAATTAAGCAGCTGTTACTAGTTCACAATCTCTCTTAGTATTGGGATCATGGGACTGATCATCTACAACAGCTCCTTTGGATTTGGTCTACAAGGACAATGATGACATATGTCATGCCTCATGAGTTAAGGTGCTAGAAACACAGAAATGTTCTCAAAACTCAAGATACAAGTTGAATTTGGAATAGCACCTTCCAACAAACAACAAGGCTCCCTAGCTTGGTTTCTTTAGCCTCCTGTAAAACGCATCAAGTCCCTGTTAACATTACTCATAAACCTGTTATGTGCTCCAAGCTTAAAATAAGTATTTAGCAAGCACCATTTCTTGTAGAATTAAATGTAAGTTTTATTTTGAAATATTTTGAGAGAAAAAAATTCTTAATAGCTATAATATGTAGCTGAGACTTCCGTATAGTTTTTCCAAAATGATTCACTGTCATGAAGCTCCTACTGGAAAGTAACTGTGCAGGTCATTTGTTGATAGAATAGTCCAAGAAAGCATGTGAGAAAGATTTCATTGCCTGTGATTTGCCTTATGCACTGATAATGGCAACAATACCCAAACCATGTTGAAATGCAACAATATTTGAATAGCTTTGTTACCTGGACATGGGAGGGTGCACGTTTCCTCAAGTACCATCTTCTTATTGCCATCTATAATAGGCTCTACTTCACCACAGAATTCCTCATCTACTACTTTGCCAACATCTTCAATGGATCCATCAAAAACCACACAGGAAATGTTCCTCATTCGTGTCCCCTCTCCACACTGAGCATCCTGGGGAAAGAGGAGATATATGGATGCTGGACAGAATAAAATGACAGTCTTTCCTGACTGCCTCTTCCATGATTTCTTAGGCACTAAATAATGAAATGGACTTACATACTATGTGTTAGTGTCTTGAAAAGCTAAATCAGAGTTAGATTGTCCAAAACAAATTTTGCTGGCTGCTACTGCTTTGTCTTCAAATACAGAACTAGGCTTATCCTCTAAATTATAACCATGGCAGTGTCTGAAGTGAAGATCTTTTCTTGTATGAGGCTGTTTTCTTCAGTACAAGGATGTCAACCTATTCCACAGAAAACCTTTCACCATGGGATTTCAATTTATTAGCAGAGATATTTGTTAAGGTACCAAAGCAAATTCTTTGATACCTCTTGGAAACTGTTTTATCTACTGACAAATATGAATTCTGAAAATAAACATTTATTCAGTTTTTGCATGAGACATATGGAAGAAAATTAACTACACTAGTGTGAAGCAGGTATCTGGGTATATCATAAACATGCCTAGATACACAGTAACTTCAAAGTCCCCTATGGCTTTTACCTCTACTTTGCATTCAGACCATTGGCCATATTGCCAGCGATAACAAGGTTTTACTGGACAGGGTTTGAACTGCTCCATCTGAGAAGGACAAGGCCTCCCATCACCCTGGAATGGCTGATTTATGGTTCTTCTTCTGATCATTTTTCCTGTAAATGAAAGATAGCAATATAAGTAAAAGCAAAGTGGATAGAGTGATTTATTCCTCAGGATGGTTCTATTTTGACGAAAGCATTTGTGCTTGAATAATATAATTTCACATTGACAAACTAAATTGCAAAGCAGATCTGTTGGCTCGTCTGTTACATAGATTTTACATTTTCTGAGTCAGGCACATCATACTCTATCATTTGTTTGTACTGCAAGAAGTACAGGAGAATGTCTGACTAGGATTTTAAACTACTCCCATAACAGAAAACATAAATAGTGATTTCCTAGTTCAGAAGCCTGGGGCAAAATACCCCTTCTGAATGAAACACTCCTGCTGAGCTGATATATTTGTGACCTCTATGGAGATTCTGACTGGAGTTTTATGTTAAAAAAGGACAATATGCTTTGTCTTTCCCAGAGTTAACATGCAATCATATGATTGTCTGATACCAGCAGCAACAACAACAGCAGCAGCTTGCATCTTTCCCTCTCTCTCTGTCCTCCTTGTTAAAGGCAAGGCGTGGAGGATATTTTACTAAAATAAAATCAAAATAAAATAGTTTTTTCCAACATTAATCTTCTTTTCAAACTCCTGGTTTCAGAGCTGCTTTAGTTGAGATGTCATAGGAACTCTACTAGTCAAGGAAAATTTTTTCTTTTTTGAAAAGTACTGGAAAGAGAACCTCTAAGTTTATTAGGTTGCTATCATTTACCACAAAATAACAATTAAATCTATTAGCTCTCCCAACTGCCTGTTTATTAGGAAAAGGGCAACTGATATATAAGCTTACTAGCATTCATTAAAATCACTGAAAATTTGAAAGCTATTACAAATTATTATTTAAAATATATTTTTCACTTTTGCAAGTAAATTCTGTCACTTTGAAAGCACTGTCTTTTCTCACAGCAATCCACCTTTAGATTTTGAAAAAAGCACRGGAATAAGAGTTCTTAGTCATAAAAATATCTGGTCAATAGTTCTGGTTATGTATACGAACAGAAGCTGATAAAAATGAAAATGTGGCAACATATTAGAAGTCTTCATTAATTCTACTCATCCATTTTTCTCCCTTGCTAAGAAGGAACTCTATAAGGATTATTGTGAATATCCTTGAAGTAGAAGTCAGCTTTTGAAAGGTAATGTAAAGAACTAAAACATAATTAGAGTATTAGCCATTGTGGTACTAAATTATTGACTGTTATCAGATAATAATAATAATAATAATAATAATAATAATAATAATAATAATAATAATAATAATAATAATCATAGCTCTTGTTGATAACCATGATGACCATGAAATGGCCAAAGTTTTCAGTCATTTTTGCCTAGACGTTTCCATTTAATGCACTCCACAAGGAACACCATCAGATGTTTAAAAACTCAAAAAAGTCAGGTTTTATCAGGATAAAGACTAATGCAATTAATGCATTAAGTAGAAAAAACTTAAAGAAGTTAAATGAGAAATACTAGGTTTATAAAATTTAGAAAACCTTCTTTTTAAAATTCAGTTATTAACCTGTCCCTCTCTGCCCACTTTTTCTACCCTAGACACACTAGTGCTTCCAGATGTGGCTTGAGACTACACCAGCAGGATTACAGCAAACTATGTCCCCTACCACCATGAAGATTATTTTCTTCCAGCCTGCCTTACCCTGGAAGCACCCTTTCCACTGCTAGTGGATTTTTCTGGCTAAGCTCTCTCTCACTTTCCCACTACTCTTAGCTCACCCTGCAGTCTGGATGCTTTTCTCCCTGTGGATGCTCAGCTGTTTCCCAGAGAAGGGACAATTCTCTCCCTGTGCAGTCTTTCCCAGTTATATWGCACCATTTTGAAATCATAAAATATAATCAGAGAACAAAATACAGCAGGCAGTGATGTTTTTATATATATGAAGAGTACATCATTTTACTGTAAGTCCAATAGCTGACTGGGGATTCCATACACGGCTAACCATCAAATAGCTATACTGACATATCCCATATAGAACATATAGGGTTCACATGAAGGCTTCTACCTTTATCCTTTGGAAGTCTGTATATCTTAATTGCTTGGCACGATAGTCACTGCAAGTCGTTACTCTGAGAAATCAATATGCTGTTTCAGTACGGATAAACAGCAAGAGTTGCTCCATAGCTAGAGTGTGCCTTTGATATAGATTTAATTTTAAACTCTTGGATTAAAAGTAAATTTTGGAAAAATATAAATTAATGCAATTGCAGTGAACAGAACCTCGTCTCCCACATCTTCTTTCACGTTCGAGGACTACAGTTGCTGGCGGGTTTAACTGTGCTATTCTAAAGGTTCAGTGTTCTAATCTCACTTTTAATTAAATTTATGAGGGATATGCTCTCCTCTGAGAAATAAATAAGTGTTTATTTTGGACTCATCAGATCTCATACTTGAGATTTGAGTCAGRGATAATTCTGGACCAAGTTCTCATCCTCTTAAGTGAGGGTAGCCTTGCTGAGGCATATTAGTGCCATAAGTAAGGATGATTTATTTATTCATCATTCTTCATAACCAACCATGTTTTCTAGTTCTGCAAAACCATATATTATTCTTTTCCATGAAAAAAAAAAAAAAAAAAAAAAAGCTCAGAGTTTGAATTATGCTGGGAACATATACTGACCTGTAAGGCCACATGTCTGCGAGCACGCAGACCAAGGGGACCAGTCAGAGAGCTGACAGTTCACAGGGCATTCCACTACGCACGATGTGTTCATCTGCCACGTCTTCTCCAAGCCGAGCTGCAAGAAAATAGGCCATGCTCAGCACATCATCTCCAGGCTGTGTCACCAGTGTAGCCTGTGCATGTGGAATCTAAGATTACTAAAGCTTTAAATGAACTAAACACTTGGTCTTGACTAAGTAAAAAAGAAAACAACCAAGACATTTAAAATGTCATTTCAAGACAGTCCTAATGCATATGCTGATTTTTAAGTACGTACTTAGATGTCAGCATTTTTGTCAACTATTTTCTAAATCAGAGCTTGAAAATGGAAGGCTTCCAGTCTGTAATCTTACTTTACGCACTGGTAAAGGACTAGGCAATTTAAGAGGTATCTATACAGTTTTTTGAAAATAAGAATAAACAATTACTATAGTATCATCTGTTATAACAGCTGAACTTTAGTTCAAGGACATTCCTTAGACTAAAAAATTTAATTCTGAAATTAATATTACCCCCGGACAAAAGGAGAGAGCAGATCATGGTAGTCAGTTTGGGCATCTAATGCTGTAGGTGATAAAAGCTTAGATGAGTTTCAGAGAGACTGGGCAGGTGAATGGAAGAGAAATTTGGTGGCTGGTAGACACACAGGAACCATGCATGTCTAACTGGGTCAGAGATGAAAACAGCTGGAGACTGGGAAAAGAGCAGATGGAAGAATTGTAAAAAGGGAAGGAAACTCTTGCAGGGAGGACAGTGGCTGCTCCAGATATTCCCCACCCAGCTAGGGAAGACAAGAGAGATTCTGCCCCTTCCAAATGAATGCAAGGGAATAAAAGTGATAATCCAAATACTAGCATGGCAATAATGATCCATGCAGTCTGCACAGCCTCAAAATGAATTGAAAAGATAGGTGCCTTATAGAATATATGATATCAAATATGAAAGAAAATTAATTCTGCCAATATGAACAGCTTCCAAATATAAAAGATTGTCCTCTTCATTGTCTGCCTACAGTGGGCCTTGATCCCATGAGGCTTTGAAGAATTCCTGCAGGCTGCAAATATCTGTAAGTATATAAACCCCCAATGTTAAATAAAAAACAATGCTGGAGAGATTTGCTGAACGCTAATTCAGAAGCAAACTAGACATTTCCAATCTATTAATTGTAATGACTCCAAAGGTTAATGATATAAARCCAGCAGTTAAGACTTTAAAAGGGAAATAAAAACACTATTTCCTCCTAAATGCAAGCATGGAGCAATAATTAGGAACAACATTAACATGTCCTCTATAAATAAACTATTGCAAGTGCTGGAAATGTCTCACCCTGATAGACTCACCAAGGCTTAAATTTTCATTTGCAGTAGCAGTTATTGAGACAAATGGGGTTTTCGACCTCTGTTCCGCTTTATACATCAGAGAATGAGTATTTTGCTTTTCTCTGCTGCATAGCATAACCAAGCTGTGTCATGCAGGGGACACGTGACATGTTTGAGAAATCTAGAATTTGGATAATCGGGAAGCTAAACAGCAAGCTTTTTAGAGAGTATTTACAGCAAATATTTCTGAATACCGGCTTGAAAGGCGGCTGAATTGAGTCCTTGCCATTACAGATACATGACTGCTGTTTTGAGGCTCTTTTTTCCTCCATGTCTGGCTTCTCAGTTGGACTTTTACAGCTAGAGAAGGAAAAGCCCAAGAGCAGTATTAAAAGTGAAGAGGGAAAAAATGAAGATCAAATTACCCCCAGAGATCTGCCTTTTGCAAGTCTTAGATGCTGAAGTGCTTCTGAAAGGGGTTAGAAGAACATTTTGCAATTTTGCAAATGTTCTCATTTCACATTAATCCTATATTCTCTTCTCATGCATCTCCTTTCTTCAGTTGACAAAGGATTAAACCCTAGTGAAGTCTTGTACTGTACTCCTGGTTGGATGCAGCTGCACAGCAGACTGACAGACTAGCTTTCTCTGTAAACTCTGGGATGTGGTATCCACAAAAAGTATCTGTACATGCTTATACGGATGTTAGGTACTAAAGATTAACCTCTACTGCAGGTTAATCATGTAATCTGATCTAAAACAGAAAACTGATGGTTTCTGATATGTAATTAAAGGTAAGTGAATGAAAACAAGCCTATAAATATGCATATGACAAGGACAAGCTTGCTTTAGATGATTTGATTTTCAAATATTCCAGGAAAATTCCAGCAGAATTCTTATGGCGTGCTAATTCTACAGAGTTAGAGCCCAAGTAATCCAGTATTACCGTGTCTTGAGAGTTTGAAGGGAACTATTTTAACATAACTAGGCTTGGAAGTAAGCTCTAGGAACTGATTTATCCAGGCAGTAATCAGGATGATGGCCAGCTCCTTTAGCCGATTGACTGAAGTGAGCACAAGATCATATGGATCATACGGAACACAGCAGCAAAGCAACCACTACAACACAGCAGCTCTGAGGAAACTTAAGTATGCATATACCTGGAGAGATTGATAGTCAAGAGACAGTGTGTTCTATCACCTATCATTTTTGATAGTTTCTTAAACAATATACTGTGTAGAAATTAAAGAATAGCAACTGAGGGCCTTAATTTTTTAAGGAATCTGGGAAGGTTTAGCTATCCTCTTATTCACATCTAACAACACCCATCATAAGGCTGTAACTGTATCCACATCTTAATTAAACAACACTTGCACTAAATTGATACACTTTATACAAGCTCTTCGGATATTGGATACTGGAAATTCCATTAGTTCACACATCACAAGATGAATTCATCTTTCTCTTATCAACCACTCAAACCATACACACATATCTTTGAACCTTATTTAATCCCAATTAATCCCAGGACAGTGGAGATACATTGGCCTTGCAATACAGAAACACAATGAAATACCTCACAGACCACCTCTGATTAGATTAATGAGAAGGGCATCGCAGATACATGCATTTGGATAGCGTCTTGTATACTGTCCTCTCATGACCTGCAGTCAGAGTTCACTTTCACATCTTTAGAATGAAGGGGCTGGGAAGATCTGAGCAGCTTGGCTTTCTTGCTAATCAGGTTAACAGATTTGACTCCTCACAGTTATTGGATCAGCCTTTGACCTTGCTGCACTACTGCTTACACATACTTTATTTATCAAGAAGTCCAGACCAGTAAGACTGAGGAGCAGATCAGAGCTTTCTCCAGCACAGTGTACAGCCTAGCGAATCAGWAGGGTAAATAAGACTGATAAAGCCAGAATCCTGCTGCACCAATGTCTKTTGGCTGGTAGTAGTTTAGGAAATTCCTGTTTATTATCCCTAATTAGCTCTCTGGTTAATCATCTTTTTTTCTTAAGAACAAGAAAAAGTTCTAGAGGTTTTCTGCAGTGAGGTTTCATTTGTTCTAAATGTTAAACAAATTCACTAGTAAATAATAAGAAATTCCCTTTCATGGCTTTATGGTAGAAGAAATATATTTCCTCTTACAAAATCATGAAGCATCTTCTTTCTGTTGAAATATTAATTCCAACATATATATTTATTTATCGTGTCTTGGTATGGAATCAATACTGAAGTCTCTTACATGTAACCTGAGAGCCATTCTTTTTTTTTTTTTTCTTTTTAATGCATTAAACTATTAACTCAGAGAAGCTTGCTGGCTTCTTGAGTTTTCCCTGAGACAGAGATTGGCAAATGATTACATTTGATTATAATTCTAACAGGTGTGTGTGAAGGAGAGTCGTGGCAAAAAAAAAAAAGGCCGGCCAACATAAGGAAAAGGCTCTAGCATTGCTAAAAACTTTCAGATTCAGAAATCTAGGATGCTGGAGGGAGTTGGAGAGACATAAGTAGATTTTCAACTGTCCAAGGTAAGCGACGGTTTCGTAACTCACTCTGCTTCTGACAAGTCTCTCTTCTCCGTAGGTGCATCCTGAAGAGCACCTACTACCAAGGAAGGTCRCTTAGACTTTTCTAAGGGACAAAGCTGCTGTGGAGTGCCCCAAGCACTGTTTTTCAGTGACAATAAGTTTTTGATCTTAAGAGACCCAGCAGTAGTGGGATGGTGGTGAAGTAAGTTCAGTTACTCCCTGTCAGAAATGGGGGTAGAATTGCTATTTTTAAAATATTTTTATTTTTCATATATTTTTATATTTAAATGCTACAAATTGAGAATACTGGTTTTTTTTTCCTTTTTCCTTCACATTACCATCTCCATGCAATTTAAAACACTAAGACGGACCCACAAAGTGCCAGAAGAATACTGCTATCACGTTTGAACAGTTAATCGAACATTTACAAAATGGCCATTAAAATTAAAGGTGTCCTATCTGCTGAAGGACAATGCTTTCTTCTCCATATATGTTTCTGTTTCRTTAATATATCATTCTTACTGCACATTTCTCACACATTTCTGTACAAAGCACAGCTGGAGACAAGAAGTCAGCATTCAGCCCAGCTGCAGAATAGCATGTGACAAATATTTTCTAGCACATTGAGCAAATGATTGATACTGGCAGCTGTCCAAAGCTCTACACAGAAATTGTATCAAATTAGAAGTATGATTAGTATTCTGATTAAGATTTACTATCTTTATTCTACTTTATTAATTATTGTTTCTAAGTCATTTCCTTCAGGACATAATAATTAGTATTCCTTCATGGAAACACTTAATAGTTACCAAAGGAAATTGTATGAAAAAAAAATCCCTGATGATGATACAACTCATTTCAGAGGTACTTAACAACCCCTGAATAATGTTGAGAAACATCTGGTGAGGATGAGTTACACACAGGATAGGTTAGTTGCTCAGCATAAATTAGCACCTTTAGAAAAGCTCTTGTACACAGGTCCCCACTCACCTCTTCACAGTACTTCAGGTCAACTGACTTGCCATCACTGCGAACACAATCCAGCATCCGTGTTTTGATACCGTTACCACAGACAGCCCTGTCACTGAGCTGACATGTGCTCCAGTCTGAAACAAGGAAACCATTAGGGTGGCAGGCATTTTATCTAACAATCTTAATGATCCAATCTCACATTAATTCTGATAGCCTAAAATAATCCTCATAAGCAACTTTAACTCATGCACAGGCTTGTGGAATCCATCTGTTAAATGTTTTATGGAAATAGCCATAGATATTGCAATGTCACTGTCAGTAATATGATGCCTTCCTGAGAAGTACATATTTGGTTTTATCTGCATGCATTTTGAGCAAATAAAAAAAAGATCACAGAAATAAATTTCCTGGAATTACAACAGGCACACTAAACCGAATTTGCAAAGTCTCCAATAACATTTTCTCTGAATCAGAAAGCCTGAATCAGATTTAGGTACAAAGCACACAGCTCACCGCATAAGAACAGAAAGAATTAAAACAAATGGAACTATGTTATAATCCTTCTATCTCTCCCACCCAATACATATATATACATAAACTTCTCACCTGGAAAAAAACAGCAGAGTAAGAATTTTTTGCCATCTATGTTAGGCATAGGCCAACTGAAACTCATTCTTTTATGCATCTGCTCTACTAAATGTCAGAAGCAGCAGCATTCCTATAAATGTATTTTCCCAGGCAGTTACTGGACTGAAAAATCCCAAAATACCTGTCACATTGTAATCATAGTGGTAGCAGTTTTTGTTCAAGGTGCAGGGCTCTGAGTCGATGGCAGCAGGACAAGATTTGCCTTCATCAGGTTCTCTCAAAAGCTCTGCTGACCTTTCACGGACGTTGCTTCCATTGCAAGGCTTGAAATGGAAAGGAGAAACAGTTAGCTTTGGTCCTTTAGGACACTGATGCCTTTTCATGCAGTACTGCAACAAGTCTTTTACGTAACCTCTTCACAGAATGCAAATACAAAATAATGGCACCGTGTTGTCTAAGAGAAGCTGTCCTTGTTTATTCACAAAGAATTTAGTCGGTTGCTTCACCTTTGTAACACCCAAGATGAAATACTCTCTCATTACTCAAATGAGAAAATGGGAAAATATCATGATACCATCTAACTAGTTCATACTGTAGTAATAGTGCTTTGAAATTATTACACCCATGAATTGGCTGTTCATATGCACACTTCTCAAAAGACATACTATAGTGCACCACAGCCTGAGAACTTAGAGCTTAGAGGTCCTGAAAATATTTTTCATGCTTAAATCTGAAAAATGCTTTTCAATTTTCTTTCCTATTTTTTTTTGATATTTCTCTCTGTGTGCAGACACAGAATTCTCCTTATATGCTTAGTCTGTATCTGCAGTCTTTTGTAAGCTTTAGAAGCTATTATCATTTTTAGTATGGTRACTACACTGCTATAGAAAGGCCCACGGTTAGTCTGAAACATCAGACACTGACATATTAGGCCACTCAGAAGCTACCCAGTGGGAAGCACTTCCCAAAATAATTTTATTCTATGAAAATACTGGCACACTTTATTTACAACCAGCTATCAATGAATATAAAGATGACAGTAAATCCAAAGGCTGACATGTGTGTCCACTGCTTACTCAGCACCTCTCCACAGTAATTCATATAAATATATACTAACTAACTAAATAAATAAGATATCTACCTAAAACTGTAAATGTTACATTGAAATACACTCCTTACCAAAGAACATCGAGACCACGTTCCCCATTCAGACATGACACAGTCTTCAGGACACGGTAATGTGCATTTTCTAGCACCAAGCGGCATCTCTTCGGGATCACACAGATAGTCCTCTACAGTGTCAGAAGGACCATCCACAGTGTTTAACATGCACCTGGAAAAAAAGGACTGTACATAAACTGCATTTATCGTGGATTTTGTACAATATCTGTGTTCTATAGTATTCTGATCCATTTTAAATGTTTTGTCAGCATGTAACAACTCTCAACTAATTGCAGTGGCAGCAGTAAGTATTGATACAGATTAACCAAGAAAAGCTGATAAACCAGAAGTAGCCCCTATTTTACAGAGGACAGCCATAGAAAGAAATACAGCTGGAATGCAGAGTTCAGACATTGCCTACTGCTGATTTCCTGGGAGCTTCCAGGCAAGTGATCTACTTGACACTAACCCACCAGCAAGCCTGCGTAAATGAGTCCTCTATAGCTTGAACATGTGATCTGTGTAATTCAACCGATAATTTAAATCTGGACATATTAGGCCTTTTCTATGCTAAAGCCCTAATTCACACAGATGCTTTTTAATTATCATTATATTACATTATCATTAYATTACATTGATATAATAATCTGGAGGCCCAGTCAAGATTAGAACATRAGCATGCTCAGTCTTATAGAGCTGAAAAAGATCAGTCCTGGATCAAAAGATCAGTCACAGTATTTCCGGTAGTGCTAAAGTCTATTTTTTCCCATGTMAGTAATGATTAATTCTGATACTTTATATTGAAAGATTTTTTTTTAATAATTTTTAATAGGAATCTATTTAGTTGTCATTCTGTGAGAAGAGTTGGACATAGATTTTTCTAACATTGGTCAATCTTCTTGAGGCAAGTATTTATCCTAAAGAAACAGTGAAATTTTGAACAAAATCTCATAAAGTGCAACTGTTCCTAAGTACTTGGCAAAAATGTGTCCATTTAAAAGGCTAAAAGTTCTCTTTACTGCTCCTGGGACCTTCAAAATAAATTCAAATTACATTTTTGTATTATTTAAATTTATAATCTTAAAATGTGTGTTGCTTTGTAGTCAAACCCCAGAAATTAATACACATTCAACTGCTCTTCCTGCTGTGCATCACATCATGTGAGACTAAATTTAATTAGCCTTTGATTAGAACTTTGAGTGGATGAGCATACAAGATGCTTGGAACAGGTTCAATAAACAACAGAAGATGTCTGGTCCCTCCTATTTCATTTCATTTCATTCACTTTTGCCTTTCCTTCAACAAGAGCTACTTGAATGTATATGTACTTAGAATATTCTGTTTTTTTTGTTTTTTGGTTGGTTTTTGTCTTTAGGTCATAATTTCATACAGAAAGAGGGCCATTTTGTCTTTCAGAAAAAATGTAAAAACATGTTACAGTATTTGTTTTAGTATAAAAATATAATACACATTTGTTTATTAAAAAGAAATCAAGGTCTAGATCCTTAACCAATGGGTAGATCTATACTACATTTACTGAAGCTATACACATTTATTCTGGCCTAAGTTCTAGTCCAATAGACCGTGGACAGATTTATSCTACACATGAGATAGAATTACATAGAATTAAATATCAACATGATTCAAAGTGAAGCTTCTTCTCTAAACTTGGGGAGAAGCAGTGCTGTTTACCTGACTTTCCTGGTCTGAACACCTTCTCCACAGTTCTCCTTTAAGTCCACATTGGTCACTTTGCAGATGCTCCAGGGCTCAGTAACCCATATGTACTGACTGCAGTCACTGTGGCAAGGCACTACCTCATACACCTGGAAACCACAGTGGGTGTCAGTTTTATTGCACACAAGTAAGATGAACAGGCAASAGTGACCATGCTGATACAATACAACAAAAGTATTGCTACTGCTCTGTTTGGTAAGAGTAACCTATGATAACTGGCTGTCTATAGAAGTTGTTGATGAAGAGTTTGTAGCAATAATACAGGCAAAATACCTGCTGCAAAACTACAGGAATAAAAAAAAAAATATATGAAAAGCTAGGACATCTCTTGAGAGAATCCCTTTTTTCTCGATCACTAAGCCTTTGCTATACCATTTCTACTGATAACACCACCGTGACTGACATGTAAAATCTTCAATCTGGGCTAAGGGTCTGATATACTTTTTGGAAATGTGGCCCCCAAAGTACATTTTGTACTTCAAATCTCCTCTCAACTATTCCATCCTCCTGTTATTAGTCATAGGGTTTTTGTTATTTCTAAAGACAGAGGAGTTCACGGTAAATGATACTAACATATACTGCTTCATTTACATTAAAATATTTTTAATTGTGGATACTTAAAATCATCCTAATATATTTTGCACATTGCTATTATTATCAGGCTTGGTTCAAATATAGATTTGAAATATCACTTTGTATAGTAACTTATATAGTGTTCCATACATTTCTATAAGATACGTTACGAAGGACAGACAATGCAATGAAGAAGCAAATGTTAAGGCTATCTCTCTATTTTAKAAATGCTTACCTGAGCCTGAGGAAAGTATTTTCATGAACCGAAAAGTGAGAGATAAAAAGAAAGAACGATTAGAGTAAAGCATAGGTATTCATATGGCATTCATTCAGTTTTTATTATAAACAATATTCTGCAACTTCTGCCAAGCAAGAGGCATTACATTTTTCCTCTTGCATCTCTCTTACTATCATGAGACATTCTTTGTGAGAAGCCAGTCCCTAGAAGAAAATAAAATTACTAGAGAACAAGTAGAGGGAAGTGACTGTAAATAAATTAGTTTCTATTTCAGGCATTCCCTGGCACACCATAGAACTATTTTCCTTTTTTGTGTGTTATGAACAYTGACTGTTCACCAACTGGGAAATCTGACTTCCCTTTGGTGAGAGAAAATTCCATTTCTGAAGAGGATACTGGATTTTTCTATTAATTACAGGTGTTTTGATGCCATTATGTGCAGTAAATATAAGGGAATAAAAGCAATTGGCAGTTTTCATTCTCATAGAGTTCTCATAAAGTATCTTAATTACACACAGATTACTTACTTAAAGCCTGGTGCCTCAAAAATACTTTATACCAGCTAACTTGTTATAGCCAAATTGATAAAGCATTCATCTATTTAAAGCATTTATCAAAGTTAGCACAACTGATATATAAAGAGAATCTAAAACTTGGTCCTTAACAAGTGCTTGATATTTTTTCTAGAAACATTAAGTAGAAAGAGGGCTGATGGTTTGGTATTTTATCAGTCGACTTGCAACAAAAAAGATTTCTTCACAAGAAAAGAGTACCCTGAACAACGAACATGGAGTGAATCTCCTAGATCACTAAGCAGCTAATCAGCCCAGGCACAACAAATCCAGTGCAGTCAGGACATTTGGGCCAACTTTGAGCTACATAAGCATTAAGCTTGATGTGAAGATGGACGGTGTAAACTCATTTTGAACAAGGAACWGGACTCACTGCACACCCTGTGCATGGGACATTTATCTTTGTCCAGGATTTCCTAAATGGAATAGGGAGGCTATAGTTTAGGGGAGCATCCCTATACAGCTCACTCTGGTGGGCATCAGAATATATAAAGCCTCCATATCCATCAGCTTTTCCAATAACAGAAAAATGGGATATCTTGTCAGAAAGCCAAACCAGAACTCTGTGTGAGGTTGTATTTGGTGACAGTCTCTTGATATTTTCTGTAACCATGATTGTAGGCTGTTATAATAAAGTATAACAAAGAATTAATTTCTAACTAGGCAGGTACAGACACAAATAATGCCTGGAGCCAATCAAGAGAGGGATGCCCTTATTTATCTAACAATCTTAGATTAGCCTCTTCATTTGAAATTCTCTGAAGATCATGAATGTGATTTTATAATAAATCAGATTCTAGTATTATGAGCTGGAAACCCACATTGTAGCTGTAAAAGGATAATTATTTTTCCAATTACCTAGATGGAAAAGAGAGTAACTCTTTGAAGTTAATGTCAACAAAGTTCCCCTCTTACAGTATTCAAGAGCTTGCCACTTGCTATGATTTTCCTTGTGAATTTTCTATGTATACACATTGCCAATATATGAGGCAGAGCTATGACAGTCAAGTGAAAATAAGGACACAATTTTTAGCTGGAAAGATGGTAGTTTAGAATGCGAAGAATGAGAAAAGCAGTTTATGAGGTGATTCAAATTATGTCTTCTTCTTCTTAGGCTTGTATGAGCTATTTAGAAATAATTTACATTAAAAGCACCATCTGCTATTGAAACAGGCACTCTCATGGTTGGAGTGCAGTCACTCCTGTCTTCGCTAGAAAGAAYGGGCTACTCAGCGTGCTTTGATTCCCTCAGTTTGCTACTTGCCTGCAGCTGCGATGATTTCTAGCTCAGGACAGGGGGTTTGGAGCAGGGGACCTTCAGCAGGTACAAAGCCAGGAGCCCGGCAAAAAATGGGCTGGATGCCACATCCAGCACCTATCGAATTTGGGACCCCCTCCAAAGCACGGACAGTCACACACACCAGCCCAGACAGATGCTGAGCAACCTGCTCTTCAACTCTATTGACATATTAGCATTTGATTCCAAAGTTTTGTTGCCCTTCCCATTAGAAAGTTTTCCTAAGGCTTAACCAAGTCTGCCTGCAGCAAAGACTACTGTTTTTTATCCTATCCATGATGGCCATGGAAAATAGGTTATTGCTTCTTCTTTGCAACAGCCTTTTCTGTGCATGCTGGCACATTGCTGGCACAACCCCATCACCATCTCTTCAGGGGCTGCACAGTGTGTTGTAGTCCTCCTCAGAGGACATCTTCTCCAGCTCTCCCATTGCCCTTCTCTGTACCATCTCCCACATATCTGAGGGCATCAAAGTCCCAATCTAGCCATTATATTTCATATGTGTGTAAATAGGCATATATTAAATAAAGAATTAAAACTAATTACATTTGTTAGCYGAAATAAATCTTCTGAAGTGTCAGTAATGGCTGTTTTTTCCATCGGAGTGAATGGCGGATGAGATTTAGACAATGAATCCGCAACTCCTTGATCATTGTCACAGAGTAGGTTTGTTAGATTTCCTAATTTAAGAATTTACGGCAGCTGTATTGGAGATTAAGAGATATCTTTATTATTACTATTATTRTTRTTGTTGTTGTTGTTGTTGTTRTTRTTRTTATTATTATTTTGACATTCCTATCTCATTTGGAAGGAGCCCCCTTCTCCTAAAGTCCTATATTTCGATTTCATTTTAAAAGAAATTACACATTTGATGATCCTTCTTATTTTCACTCGTCCATTTAGCAAGGGCTATATAATATTGTACCAAATCAAATTCTAGTCAAAGCACCAGCAGAGGGCAATGGTACTGCATAGAAGAGACCAGGACAAGACAGAAAAAAAAAAAGGCTATTATGTACCACATGGATATTAAAGAAGGAAAAAAAAAATTGAGCTATAATTTGCTCCTGTTTCAACACATGCCTCCTAATTTAAACCAGTTTTACATGCTGACCCAAATCCAACAACCTTCTTTCTAGTTTGCATTTTGTTAAAGTAGATTACAAACTTAGTTTATTAGCTGTAGTTTAACACTTATTATTTTCTAAATTAGAACTAATTACATTGCCTAAAGCAGAAAATTAGATCAACAAGCTATTTCACTGTATGCTAGCAAAACGTCAATAGGATAATATTAAGTACATGCATTTTATTCAAATGTAAACTGACAGCTTTTTTTTCTACTTTTGAATATTTACAGAGAAGACTGTGGTTGTTTAATGTGCCTCTGCAGAGCGAATTAGATTCAGCAGTAATATAAATATAAATTATATCTGAAGAGAGTAAGTTAATCAGAAAGGTGGGTTTTCTTTTTAGAACTCTCCAAGGAAACCAAAAGGCTATAGACAGGCCTGGGACACCAGGAAGCATGGAAGACATTGCCTGGACTTTTTTACTGAGAGGTTTCTTCTTTTCTGAGTTGTGCCTTTGCATCCACTTTCTAGTTTGCTGGCAAGATACGTTGGGCTGCTTTTCTGGCCCCTAAGAAAGGGCGTGGTACTGATGTAAKGCACCTGCGGCCTAAAGCTTGGCGCTGAAAATGCAGAGAGCTGGTGCTGCCACACCTGACAGGACTGCGCTGGGGCATTTTGGTTTTCTCATCTGAGATTGTTGGGGGAATGAGACTGAGTCTTACAATCTATATAACAAGACACATTTTACTCATTTGTAAGAGAAGCTCTTCAGAAACATATGGTCTTCACAGACCGAAGTAAGATTTTCTGTATCATGAAACAATACCGTTTAACAGGTAAGTTATTTGAGATGTGGAAAAAAGCTCTATCAATAATGTAAATAAAACCAAATTTACCTGATTGACGTGATCTAGCTTAGGACAGGGTCTCCCACCATTGTAGGGTTTTTCACGGAGCCATTTAGACCGAACCTTGACCCCACTCCCACAGGATTTACTACAGCGAGACCAGTTGGACCATTCGCTGAGCTTGCAGTCCGAGGGGCACGGAATAATACAGGCTTCCTCAATATAACCTGGGTGAATGGGAAAGAAAGGGAAATCACTTCAGCATGTCACTCTGCCACTTCTCCCCGAAGCTCTCGTCCATTTCATTTAGGTTGCCCAAAGTTTGACTTGACAGGGCTGTGTGAATAGAGAGATTTCTTCATCATTAGGGCTAAATTAAATTCTGCAGAGAATTGACACAGATAACTGGAGACCGTGTTAGAGTAACAGCTGAGCATCCTCAGTATTATCTGATTAGGATTCACACTCGCCAGATTTCTGCATCCCAACTTTCTGACAGCTAGAATGTAATTGACACTAACCGATCCCTTGTCACAGTGTTCTTAYGCTGCACAAACATTTATTTTGCTGAAAAAAAAAGGTTTAATTAAAAGCCCCTCCATAATTTTTTCAAGCAAGTCAACTGCGGTTATATATCAAAAATGCATCAGAATYGAAAGCGACGCTTCTTATCGGGCTGGAATGAGGGAACTTAACACCTTGTGACCTTCCAGAAGCTAGAAAGAGAAAGTGGTTTGCCACGTTAATGATCTGCCGATTAACCACCATCTGTCCCCAGCCGCACACTGAATAATTGCCCTGAATGGAAAAGCAGATGTTTCGTTTGGATAAGTCATGGGGCCTGAGAGGTTGGAATGGGGTAGGACATGGTCTGCAGGGAGTAACATGAAGCTTCAATTCACTGAATAAGTGAAAATGTCTTTCTTTCAGAAGCGACATATGTCATTGCTTTAYAATGTGTGTCATTTATGTCAATATTTAAGGCAGAAGCTATAAAATGTCAAATAAAAAGCCTACCGTTGCCAAATTTTTTATTATGACTAAACCTATATGAACTCTCCTCTCCCCTTCCACTAAAGAAGATAAGAAACTATACGTTGTCAGAGTCACAAAGTATTTTGTGGTAAATGTTGACTTTAAAGGCAAAAAAGACTTTAGTGCACGTAAAGCTTAGTGAATTAAAACACCTGAGGAACATACCATTCTAATGCATGGGTAAGATCCTTCTCAAATGAATGTTGGTTTCACGGTTTCAAATTTGCTTCCTGTGTATAACAACTTCTTTTTCTCAGTCACTGAGTGTTTAAAGCAATCGCTGACATTTTTCCTCAGCTCTGACATCAGCAGTTTTATGTTTTTAACTTACACATAGATTTTACAACTTCTTATGAATACGTTTCACATCTGTACTTCTTTGTAACACCATTTTTAAATAGCTTTTTGCTGGAGAAACTCACCATTTTAATGCAGTAATGCCATTTAGTACTTATTCAATTTCTGCCTCTATAATTAATATCTGGTAGGAGCAAATACAAGCTGCTTTAAATTAATTGTACATCTTTAATTAGATAAGTTCAATCAGTGGAGCCTGATTCAGGAAGACTTTATTTTAAGGATTTTCCATAAACATCTGAGCTATTTTAACTTTGTCTTATTTTATCTCCTCTGCCTTTCTTATGCTTTCTTCCTGGGTATCTGACCTGTGAGGCTCTCTGCTCCCTCATTTTTAATTCCTCGGAAAATTTTGCATTAGCATCCAGAACTCCACAAGTAAAAAATAGCTGCTGGGTGGACAGCAAGAACAGAAAATGTATGAAGACAGAGAGCAAGAATGGAGTCCATCAGTACTGAAAATAAGTTCTACARCTTGGAAAGGCTTGGAGTTACTGGAAAGGTGTAAACATTTTTAGACAGAAGAGGGAAAAATATCTATTATCAAGGGAGATGAAAGATAAGGATGAAAAAAAAAGTCCTAATCACTAGCACAATGCTGAATAAAAATTAGATCAAGAACATGAAGAGAAAAACAGGAATCTAGAAGAGRATTTCTCAGATTCCAATATTCAAGCCAAACAGAAAAAAGAAGAAATGAGTGAAGTTAGTTTTCATGGCAAACAGACAAAAGTGGAAACCACAGAGAGAACCCAAGACAAAAGAGGCACTGATGGAGAATTGAGAAAAGGAGAAACTAGGGGGAGAGAAGAGTAGGGGGAGAGAAGAGGAAAACAAATGGTTCAGAACCGAGTCAAGAGAATCGCAGAGATACGTATTTCATAGGGAAATACAACAAGGAAGAAAGAAGAAAAAGGGATCTTGCCAAAAGCAGTATCTTCACAATGCACAAACAGAACACAAAGTCCTAAAGACAAACTCAGGTACCTCCTGACCTAGCAGTGAAAGAGAACCTTCTCCCAGCTGAAATCAGAGACTGAGGAAACAAATAAAAAGACTGTGATATGAGTGGGATTCTGTAAGCAATTAACAYACAGAATGAAAATGCCAAGTCCCCAGTTATAGCTGAGATGGAAATGCTTTTGGCATATTTGTTCTTTGGCATCTTTTCTTCCCCTCAGCAGCCCCGCTATTTCAGTTTCACTCCCCAGCCAATTTAGTGGTTCGCTATGCCACCAGGCTCCCCTGCAACACAAGCTAAAGCAGACTTCAAGCTTGCAGATACTTCTCTGGCTAAGAAAGAAGGCTGAATTAAATGAATTACCTGTTGTAAAATACTCATTCCACTCAATTTACTGCTCTTCTAATGCCACTTTTCAGCAAATGAYTCTCTGAAGCATGTCATCACCTCATATGTGCTTCTGCAAGCCTGATGTCAACATATGTTTTTAGGATGATTAAGGATGATAATTGCCAGATGTCCACAGCAATCATTTTTTCCAGAGTAATGAAAATTGGAAAAGTTTATACTCATTTTTTTTGCTTTTTAATTTTTTTTTATACTTTGGGTGTTTGTATTTGCATTTTTTGTCAATGCTGTAAACATTTCAGTAAATGAGAAGAGAATAAATTGCAATAAATCATTTTCACATAGAAAACTTACACACAGATAGGGCTGGTGATGTAGATACATAGTTTCTGACATGAACAGCATGTGAATGAGCCTTTCTTCCAGTTTTCCATCGTGTTTCCAATTCTGATCTAATCATCTTTGAAAGGGTGTCCCTTGTGTTAGAAATTGCAAAACTCAAAGCAGCAGTCAGCCTGTCCCCGCATAACCTCAAATCTAAAGAGGGGTTCCAATAGTGGAGTATCAYACAGTTATATCACACACATATAGAGAGGGCCGTTGAAGAGATGAGACCCTGGGCTATTCCGGTACTCAGCATCTTCCCCGCGCAACCCAGGAGGGTATTGGAAAAAGACTTCTTGCTCCTAAGACTTATTCCTTTTCCTGGGGCAGGCTTATTCCTCGCTTATTCCACCTCCAGTCAGCCAAACTCCACAGGCTGGGGAAATGGGCAGTTGTCTACCATGGCTACAGCATCATTAAAGTTTTACTACGGAAGCACAATTTATCAAACGGCTTTCAGSCACGACGCGTGTGAGCTGAACTCAGTATCGAAAGGGAAAGCTTTATTGTCCCACCACTAATTGGCTGTAAAGTCTGGACTACTAGAACATCATTAACAGATGTGACGGGTAATTTATAATGGACAGCTCAAAGAACTTCAAACATTGTCTAGTGACAGGTAGAGATATAAGCAGTTGGATATAAGCTTCCTTTTTGTCCCCCCAAAAAACTACACCTACAATGTGTAAGAACAGACCTGCTGAGTTGTAGGGTATAAATACAAATAACATCTTAAAAAGGGTTTTTTATGTGTGCTGTCTTTCCTTTAAGAGTGACAGAATTGAATGAAGTGTGCTGCTACTTTTCTGAGAAACTGCAGTGTCAGAATGGTTTATGTAAGGTGTTTTTTTTTTTTTTTTTTTTTTTTTAAGAAATATAAACTTTCTGACTGTTTCTGCACATAAAGCATTCTGATATCTAATCCAGTATGGTAATAGATTTAGCTTCCCAACTATTAGTAGTATTAGAATACTCTGCTGTTTTGTATCTTGCATCCTTTCTAAGACTTTTTAATATGCAGGATTTCATACTTTATTTCCCCTTGGAAATACACTGCTGCCCTTCATCAATAGCCCTGGAATAAGCCTCTGCATTTTGGCACCACCAGATCTGCTCTGCCAAGAGGATGTCAGTCATAACAAAGGCATTCATCAACCCAAAGGCCTTTGGAAAATACATTTATTTTAGAACCTACACTTGACAGAAAGTCTCAATTTAACTTTTATGCTCTATTATTTTTATTGATAGACTTGTATTGCTGTAGGTTAGAATGCTGAAAATGAAAAGGATTTAAAAAGTYCCAGTAAGTGTGGACACAGCAGGTTTTAACTGACACCTCAGACCATGTAGACACTTTCATAAAATTTGAGACATTACTGAGATATACATAAGCAATTCAATACAAAATTGCTTGATTCACATAGGTACTCCCAGTTGCTGTTGTAAAAGTATTCACTGCTAGGCAGATCTCCCTCTCTAATCCCCCGCATAAGCCTCGTGGCCATGGAGAGCTTTGTAGAGTCAGCACAAATCAATGCATCTCATTTAATTAATGCTAAAGGGGGAAATAATCTCACACTAATAAGGCAGCAGACAAACTATCCTGGCCTGGTTGGCTGCGCCTAAGGTTTTAACAGTAAACTGACATGAATTAAGAAGGGCAATACGACCTATATAAAAATGTTACATCTGTCTCCTGTGCTACTCTGTTTGCCTTCTGTACCACCCCCTTCCCACACACACACARACACACACACATAATCACCTCTTCACTTATTTGGGTCAAAACTGCTATATAATGGAGAGAACCTAAATAATGTAATATTGCAAATATTACAGTTGTCATGTGTCACAGTGGCCTGCTTTTGATTTTGTTGTCATGAGAGTTCCAAGATAAGGTGAACCACGGAGAAACTCTACATTTTAGCTTTTTTTAAACAAAGATGCTAAAACATATGTCTGAGAGACACATATCATTACCTACATATAACAATGAGGTCAGGGCTAAAGTTATGAAAAACAATGCCTGCTTTTCTAATGGTAAAAATAAATAAATAAATAAATAGATAAATAAAAGCTTTTGCCTTTCTCCAGTAAAACCACCTATGTAGTACTGACACAAAGTTGAAAACAGGAAAAAGGCAATTCATGTGTCTTCCATTTATGGCACACAGTTAAAAAACAGGTCACTTAACATTTTAGCTGGCGTAGCCACATCTGCTGATCACACTATCAGCTGTCAACCCCTGTCTGTACACCACAGAACTGCTATGGAGGAAAAACAATAAAAACAGAATCTTTTAAATAGTTGCTGGATGGTGACAATTTCTTTACCACTAGACTTAATTTAAATTCAAAACTAATAATATTGAAAGGAGAAGCTGAAATATTGGCCATATAAAACACTAACACCAGAGAAAAGGTGAGGAAAAGTGAGAAGTCACTCTGCAGATTCACTCTGCAGCTGAAATTTAGCTCTATTTCCAGGTGTAATTTTGGGATTCTTTTAAAGTACTTCTTAAGCAACAGGAGCTAAGGGCCTTATTTGCAAGGACTCTACCTCCATAGTATTCTTCTTCAATATATTTCTCAAATATGCAGTGTTCTGACTCACCTTGCTTTAGAGTTACTGTTCACTCCAAGGTTTTTGAAACCTATTTACATTGGGTTATATCGGGTTATACTGCTCCCAAAATTTCAAAGTGTGTCTTAGGAATCCTTTTATGGAGCTAGTAACTTAGGAGTCTGATTTGTGTTGCACCCATCYTCTTAGTTCCTCAGTGCCTGGGAAAATGTTAGTCAACTCTTCCTGCATCTCCTGAAAATAAGATATCTCTAGCAGTTAAAAGAGCTTCTGAGTTCTTCTGAATAATTGTGTATTAATTCTTCTGAAGTATTAATTCTCCTGTTCTGCTTCTTTCATTCTTTCCTCAGGAAATCAACTGATTTGTGATTATAAACACATAAAGTTTCACAAAACAAACAGCTAAGAATGTTTTGGCACTGCAGAGCAGATCTGCCTTCTGATTCCTCCCACTCAAAACAGCACAACTTCCAAACCAGACTTAGTCATATCCTCATAAATTTTCATGGTAGTATTTACATAAAATTGTTAACGGTCTCACAATCTGATTTTCCTGTAGCATTTTTGTATATTACATGATTACATAATCAATGCTGTTAATAACATCAGTGAGTCTCTAGGGGGTTAGTTCCTGTTGTCAAATCTAGAGCATATTATCACAGCTGAAGGAGTAAAATTTCCCCGTGGCATATCTCAAGATTTCATAGTGYCATGAGAATGAAAATTCAAGCAAAAGTTGAGCACAAACAGAGGATAGGTCTTCCTGAAATACTGACCTTGACCCTACTTCTCCTAGTCMAAGCTAATTTGCACAATACTGCAACTTGGACAGTTTGCAATTATATCTCATAAAAATTGCAATACAATTGCAATTAAATACTGTAGCATTTGAAAAAAAGCAGATTCAACAACTATTCAACTAATAGTAAAACTGATTTCTGAAGAAAGCACATCATGTAGGAGACTAAACTGACTCTTTTTCTTTGGATGGTTAAAAAATTAGTGAAAAAGTCAATGCTGTCATTTCTATAAGGAAATAAGCATCCCYGTTAAAATTTCCAATATTCCAAGCAGGCTTGAATTACGAGTCCTGTCAGGTTGAACTTGAAAAGCTAAAAGGAGATGGATGAGAACCTACAAGGCAGTTTTATTTGCTAGCAAGTGGGTAAGTACTGGGTTGCCACAGAACTCCCATGCTGATTTGGCATAATCTAGYTTTTATGTTTGTTCTTAAAGACAAAGGTACACAGCACACTGAAATCCAGAGATGACACCAAACTGTTAAGTACCATATACCAACAGCATAAAAACAACCACAAAAGCATTCTAAACACTGGCAAGCCATAAAATAAGACTGAACAAGCAAAACACCAGCTAATGCACATAGATAAAAATATAGCAAATCATTGGAATGCAATGCATGAATACATAGGAGATACTCAGAAAAGGCAGCAAGCATATACTCAGGTCAGACTGAAACATCTAACTCATCTGTTATAGTCCCTTTGTAAATGCAAAGTATGCTAAACACAGAAAAATGGTAATGCTGAAGGTAGACAATAAATCAGGCAAGGTAGACAATAAATCAGGCAAGTATTAGAAATTATCCATGTTTGTGCACAACAGTTATCAATAATAGATGCTTGTTGTAGAAGAGCTGGTGAAAAGGACCCCACAACTTTAGTGACATACTCTTTAGCATCAAAGTCAGATTAGATATTAGATTTTCTGTATACCTGACATTCCTGTCAAACAACTCTAGGGTGCACAAGGAAAGCAGGATTAGTTCTACTGCAGTTCCAAAGCTCATCTGCCAGTGCCTGGACCATGAMAAAAATACTCTCTCAAATGGAACAGATGAAGAAAACATTAAGTTGCCTCATGTACTTCACTACCAAAAAAAAAGTAACAAAATGGCCAGGGGAGAGAGAGGGAAAAAAATCACAGAACAGGAAACTTTAATGAATGAAAATCCAAAGGGTTCAGGCTTCCCAACCAAAGGAAAAAAATATAGTAATGACTCATAAATATTTCCATTACTCAAAGACAGCACAATTAATGAGACCTCAAATTGGTGAGAAAAGTGAGATGAAACTATGGAAAGAAAAAACAAACCAAAGCAATTCTGTGCTCTATTTTGGGAAGATTGTCTCTCGAGCCACTAGTGCTACTGGCTCTGAAGTGGCAGCTTTTGGCATCGTAGGTGTAATGGCAATGTTCTGTCAGCAGCTTTGTTGACTCACTTATTCTARCTTCTTAACACTGCGTTATTATTCACTATAGTCACTGTGAATGTAGGGGACATTCACTGATAATCCATTAGACTGGAAATTACTTCTGACATAACAATCATCAACAGTTGTAACAAGATAAAAAAAACAGATGAGAACCTTTTTTTTTTTTTCTCATTTTTCTTTGCTTTTTTATTTCTCTGATACTTTGCCATACAATTATTTATATAAACATTGTGTGCTGCAGAAAGAAACCAAATCAAGGATGCATGGTGGGGAACATGATTTCTGCAACATCTTAAAAATAATTATGCATCTCTCTGCAGCATGTTTTGGTGTCCAGAAGAGAGAGGCATCTCACTATCATTTCACACCACAGGCGCATCCACTTTAGGAAGGAAAACATTTATGAAAGGAACTGTCCTGTCCAGGAACAATGTGAATACAAAGAAGGCTAAGTCTTTGAACAGCCTACCAATACCCATGACACTGAGAATTAGACTTAGGCAGAAAAGTGCTATGAGCTGTTGAACTCAGATCAATACATATCTATTAAAGTGCTGAAGAGGACAGGGTAAASATAAGGCTATTTACAGGGATTACAGCTACCTGAAGACTCTGTATTTCAAGGAAACAATTTCAGCCTTTGCAAAAGGCTGCTGTAGCCTGTGCCATCACTTTCTGTTTTTCGAGGCTTTGACTCTCCTTAATAGGTTTACTCTCCAATACACAGGTGAAAAATACAATATATGACCCTTATCTAATAAAATACCTTGCTGATAATTTACCATCATTTTACTTTTAAATATTACATGGTCTCAAACAGTAAAAAGAAACTTTACTTTAGATATCCGAAGAATCATACCTTTCAGAAGCATAACAAACATATGCTGGGCTTGAAGCTTTCTGCAGATAAGAGAAGCCTAAGCAATACATAATAATTTGCTATTTCTTCCTGTATGGATATTATGTCAAATGAAATAATACAGATTAGTAAAGAGATGAAAGAGGAGGTTTCTAAATACCATGACTGTTGCATCGTGATGTTTCCACAAGGCGGCTGTTCTGATCGTAGCATGCCATGGCCTGGTAGCGGTAGCCTTGTCCACATTCCTTAATGTCTCCTGCTACCTTCATTCCCAGTAATACTTCCACTTTGCCCTCTGGTAATATACAGTCTGACCAGTTTCCCACAGGCTGAGCACTGTATTTGTCACAGGGGCAAAACTGATTCTCAATAAGAGGATACAGCTGAGAATTTCTGCATTTATCCTTTTTCTTACTTTTTCCTAGAATGAAAAGAGAATTATTTGGGAAAGTTTKCCTCAGATTACATGCTCCTGACACAATTCATTTGGCCACCAGTATTTTCAAGATAAAAGCTCCAAAGAACCCAAAGTTACCCAAAGGCCAAAGTTTGCATATGCCGAAAAAGTTACATTAACCTTTATTCAATCAGTTAAGTTAATAATTTGAGATTCCAAAATAATGGATGCCTACAGTTTTCATGAAGGCGGTATTTTATTGCATAAAATCACAAATTTATTCATAGGGGGTCCAATTGGAAAATTTTAGCAATTAAAATATATACTCTTTACCCTTTATTTCATCACCAGTGTAAAAATAGTTCACAAAATAATGTCTCAAATTTACGGATAAATCTTTCTCACCTTTGTTACATGAGTGCATTCATTCCAAATGGCAAAATCCTTAACTTTCACTATAAGCTATTGTAGCATTTGGTAATAGCTATCATTATTCCTCTCTAATGGAATATGCTTCTCCAATACTGTTTCCAGTATCTTCTTTCAAGTTGTTTCCTTTCTCCAATTGGAAACCTCCCACCCACCAAGGATTTCCTTGAGTGGTAGTTGCAAGAGTAGTTTTAAAAATGTCCATTACTCTGAGGAGAATATAAAAGAATATTCTGCACTACATGTGCTTTTAGAACCAGATATAAGCTTTATGCTTATATTCTTATGGACTGTCTTTGCTCAAAATTGTTACAAAACTGAGTATGGCCAACAAAATTAGTGGCCGACACTCTGGAGGGCTGTGCTGCCGTTCAGAGGGACCTGGACAGGCTGGAGAATTGGGCAGAGAGGAACTTCATGTGGTTCAACAAAGACAAGTGCAGAGTCCTACACCTGGGAAGGAATAACCTCAGACACCAGGACAGATTAGGGCTCGACCTGCTGGAAAGCAKCTCCATGGAGAAGGATTTGGGAGTCCTGGTTGACACCAAGTTAACCATTCCAGCATTGTGCCCTCGTGGCCAAGAAGGCCAATGGGATCCTTGCCTGCATCAGGAGGAGTGTTGCCAGMAGGTCGAGGTTGGGGATCCTGCCCCTCTACTCAGCTCTGGTGAGGCTGCACCTAGAGTAGTGGGTGCAGTTCTGGGCTCCCCAGTACAAGTGGTATGYGGAGCTTCTAGGGAGGCTCCAGTGGAGAGCAACAAAGATGATGAAGGGACTGGAGCATCTATCTTATGAGGAAAGACTAAGGGGCCTGTTCCTCTTATGAGGAAAGACTGGGCCTCTTTAACCTGGAGAAGGCTGAGAGGAGATCTGATCAATATGTATAAGTATCTCAGGGGAGAACACAGGGAGGATGGGGCCAAACTCTTCTCAGTGGTGACCAGGACAACAGGTAATGGGTACACGTTGAAACACAGGAAGTTCTACCTCCATGTGAGGAAGAACTTCTTTACTGTGGGGGTGACAGAGCCCTGGAACAGACTGTCCATGTCTCCTTCTCTGCAGGTCTTCCAAACCTGCCTGGATGCCACCCTGTGCCACATACTCCAGGTGTCCCTGCTGGAGCAGAGAGGTTGGACTAGATGATCTCTAGGGGTCCCTTCCAACCTCAACCACTTTGTGATTCTGTAAAAATCAAAGCAAGGTACTTCACAAGAAAAAGCTTCTCTTCCTTGATAACACAACTGCATACTAAAAATACACCTCTCTCACTGCTCATCTTTTCCCTAGAAACGTTTATGAATTCACCCCTGTTGGCTCTGTGCATTAGCCTGGATGACACTCTGCAAACCAGGACAAACCAGAGGCAAAATCCAAGTCTTAACAGGTCTGACAGGGCAGCTTAGCTCAGCCGAGGGCAGCGCCTCAACCCGCTTATATGGTGGTAAAAGCCAAGAGCAAAGACTCCTCTCGCTTTGTTTACAAAAAAAACCCAAAAAATGTTAGTTAMGGATTTTTTTTTGCCCTGTGGAAGCAAATCTGGCAGCATATTCAATRGCTTTACAAAGCAGCCACAGTGAGCCTGCCTGAAGATTAGGAATTATTCTGTCTCCCAGGGTCTGATTTACAAGGGAATGGTACAGGGGAGGGGGTCTGTATCCCACTGCACAGCTCCCAACGATAGTACTGGGCCCTCACTTAGTGAACTGGCAAAAAGCACTACAGCAGAGGCCAACCATTCCTAAGGTTTCACTTACAACTTAGGACTGAAGCTTGTTTTATTCTTTTCCTTCCATGCAAATGAAAAAAAAAAAAAAAAGAGGCAGATTAAAATAGAAAAAGCTGGAGAAATAATGTGTTTCCAAATGGAGAGATACCAGCTGCACACAACCAAGAAATGTTTGTAGTAAAGACTTGCACAGACTCGGAAAAACTTGATATTATTAACTAATGGTAATGGAAAAAGAAATCAAAAAACTTCAAAAGTGACAGTCTTATCTTGGATATTCAGTGTCATAAGCCAAAAAAAAAAAGACTATCTAACAAAGAGAAGGAAAATATATATATACATATATGCTCAGCCTTGTTAAGAAATAAGGCAGAAAACTAAAGCACATGTTGCCTAAGGCCAGAGCTGCTGGATGAAGGTACAAACAAGAACTCAGAGTGAATATTCAGGCAGGGCAAGGACTCATTTAATCATATGTTGAGCATTCAGAATTCTGCAGCCAGGAAGTCAAAGAGCTAAATGTAGCTCCAGACTGGAAATGACACTCCATCAAGAGGCTGCAAAACACTTGAGTGCTGAGGTAATTCCAAGGAATCCAAATGCCACCTGAGAAGAGACTCTGGGCATAGCCACAAGACCTTCTGACAAAAGGAGAGAGAGGTCTGCATGTACACCTGCTCCTACTAAAAAGCTATGAGTGCTGGTTGGCCTGTCACCTAGAGCAAAAACAAAGCAAATTCATTTTTTTTCTCCAAGGTTTGCAAATTCCTTGTAGATTGCCACRATTTGCAAATTCCTATATCCTATTAGAAGCTCCAGGGTTATTTCAACATATTTTCTCCCAATTACTGCCCAGAATAAAAAGAAAAGGCAAAGCAAAGAAAAACCAAAACCTGACAGTACACCAAGGGCAAAGATACATTCAAATGGTTTCGAGCAAAAGAAATCTTAATTCATATCTCTATTCCAGGCATTATTGACGATGTGTGACGATGTGTGACGATATGTGAACTCTGTGTTTCCACAACCAAAGCATATGAACTATGCTCATGCAAACAGGAGAAAGGAGATGAAATGCCACTGAATTTTCTTTATGCTTTTGTAAGGAAGAGCTATAATTGGGATGTAACTCCAGCATAATTTGCTTCTACTGTATATTGATAATATGGAAGTATTTAACAGGCAATAAATGGGTCAATAACAGAGGCTTAAGTCAGAAATTGTTACTGCTTTGGTTTGTTAGGAATAAGCATCTGAATATTATGTACRGCTTTCTGAGAAGTCAGGTATCTCCGATGTCTGGTCAATGACAAGTTGTGCTCTTAAAGCACCTCTGCATACTAAAAGCTAACAATCGATTCTTCATTAGCAAATTGACATTCTAATTAAATTAATTACAAAGCTCTTCATTACAGAAAGTCTGCAAAGGCATCCTAGTGAATATGGAGCTTTTTCCCTCAAAGAAGAATGCAATGTGGTGAAAGAACATCAGTTGAGATGTAGCTTGTCTCTGCAATCACCAAGGAATTAGAACTGCAAACTTTTCTCCTAAATTCCTAGCTGAGAAAATGCATACATATCAAGCAAAGTCTAACCAACCAAAAGGTTGGTTGCTGTCACTGCTTTGTTTTTCATGACCTGTTCGCCAAATCTAGAACCTAGCTGTTCATCTGGATGTAATTAAATTGAAATTAAAATTTGTGATTGAAACTCATTTTTAGGAGCAACGTGGCAAATTTTGAGAGACTTTCTTCTACAGAACAAGACAAAATTGTTCTAGATTTCCTGGCATGACATACTATCCACATCACATGGGAGCTCTTAAGGTCTGAAGGGTTTTATACTATCAAGCTAATCAGTTCATGCATGTAAATTATATGTGATTTCTTTAATGTTCACAAGGTCACAAGACCTGCCTGCAGATTATTAGATAAATAAACTGAAAGCAATAAAACATGTTTTTGAAGAGTAAATATCATTTAAAGATAAACACTGARAAAGATAAATTGTTTTTCCTGTTATTCTTACCAACAAGAGTGCGTTTTCTGGTCCTGACTCCTCCACAGTCCCCATTACAGGAAGAAAACTTTGACCAGTTTGTAAACTGACAATCGTCTTGGCAAGGAATCTGGCACAGCTGTGTTAAGGGCGGTAACGGGCCAGCATATTTAAGGCACTCACTGATGTCAGCCTGTCCTCCATCCTGCCTGCGACAAGTAATTGCTGTGAGCAAGAAGGGTAGAGTTAAATTCAGCAGGTTGCATGTGCATTGCTATTCCTTTTAGTAAGTCAAGCAATCTTCTACCACAAAAATTGCACAGAAAGCTCAAAATATCTGTGAAATACAACAGCATACCTTTGAAAATCACTTGTATCTTACAACTGAATGAATACAAGTGAAAAAGTCTGACTGACTATTTGAGCTTATGTTTAAATTACTATTTCTTTATCAATACTTAGCAGGACCAAAAACTTTAAAGACAACTGAAAATAATACATGGATTTGCACAGTGTTATTCACAGCTACTACAGCATACCACTTTCCATGTTATCACTTTACTACAGAGATAACTCAGATATTACAACTATTTTAAGTAACTGAAGAGTATATAAGCCATAAAGCTGAATATGTTTATCAGTAGCATGGATTTTAGAGAAGGAACAGACATAAAATTTAGAAACAYATTTGAGTCCTGGATATCATAGAGTGTATAAGTCTTCATAGCAGTCTTGCTGTGTGACACACAACCAATTTTTAGTCTTGAAGAGAGGATTGAAGACCAAAGCATGTTTGCCAGGGTGCAGGATCAACCAAAGGGAGCATTACTGTTTATAACAGAATATCCATGTCCTAAACAAAAGCTTCTTACTTAAAAGAAGAAATAAAAAGGGTTTCTTAAGAAAACTTCAAATATCACAAGACAAAGTTGGTGGAATATTCTCAATTATTACAGAAAATGGGGCTGTTTCATTAATATCAAGCTGCACAGTTTTATCAGCTCACTATTATTGTTCCTTTTGGATAAATTTCTTTTTTTTCCTATACATTATTACTTATCTATTATTTCAATCACACACCTCAGTAAATCTCGTTTTATTTCCTAGCCCAAAATAACAAAGAACTTATTATGCAGTAACAAGATTGGAAAATTCTAGTTGTATTTTTTATACAATGGAATAATATTTATGCTTCTCAGTGTCTGCCAGCACATACCAGGTGCCATATCTCATAACGACTGCGAAAGTAATTTGGATCACCAATTGTTGCAGTAATATTGCATCCAAACACAATATATCATTCTCTGCACCTGGGGGAATCTCATGTTTTATATTACACTCTGCTCCATAATTTAAACCTAATACTTCTACGGTACTGACAATAACTGTTTCACTGGCATGTGAATTGAAAAAAAAAATTAAATATTACTAACTCAACTATTATGGCATAATCAGGTTCAACTGCTGGA